ATACTGGAGGACCAGTACTATCCATTTTCTATACTGGAGGACCAGTACTATCCATCTTCTATACTGGATGATCAGTAGTATCCTTCTTCTCTACTGGAGGACCAGTACTATCCATATTCTATACTGGAGGACCAGTACTATCCATCTTCTATACTGGAGGACCAGTACTATCCATCTTCTATACTGGAGGACCAGTACTATCCATCTTCTATACTGGAGGACCAGTACTATCCATCTTCTATACTGGAGGACCAGTAGTATCCATCTTCTATACTGGAGGACCATTCCTATCCATCTTCTATACTGGAGGATCAGTACTATCCATCTTCTATACTGGATGATCAGTAGTATCCTTCTTCTCTACTGGAGGACCAGTACTATCCATATTCTATACTGGAGGACAAGTAGTATCCTTCTTCTATACTGGAGGACTATTCCTATCCATCTTCTATACTGGAGGACCATTCCTATCCATCTTCTATACTGGAGGACCATTCCTATCCATCTTCTATACTGGAGGACCATTCCTTTCCATCTTCTATACTGGAGGACCAGTACTATCCTTCTTCTATACTGGAGGACCAGTAGCATCCATATTCTATACTGGAGGACCAGTACTATCCATCTTCTATACTGGAGGACCAGTACTATCCATCTTCTATACTGGAGGACCAGTACTATCCATCTTCTATACTGGAGGACCAGTACTATCCATCTTCTATACTGGAGGACCAGTAGTATCCATCTTCTATACTGGAGGACCATTCCTATCCATCTTCTATACTGGAGGATCAGTACTATCCATCTTCTATACTGGATGATCAGTAGTATCCTTCTTCTCTACTGGAGGACCAGTACTATCCATATTCTATACTGGAGGACAAGTAGTATCCTTCTTCTATACTGGAGGACTATTCCTATCCATCTTCTATACTGGAGGACCATTCCTATCCATCTTCTATACTGGAGGACCATTCCTATCCATCTTCTATACTGGAGGACCATTCCTTTCCATCTTCTATACTGGAGGACCAGTACTATCCTTCTTCTATACTGGAGGACCAGTAGCATCCTTCTTCTATACTGGAGGACCAGTAGTATCCTTCTTTTATACTGAAGGACCAGTAGTATCCTTCTTCTATACTGGAGGACCAGTCCTATCCATCTTCTATACTGGAGGAGCATTCCTATCCATCTTCTGTACTGGAGGACCAGTCCTATCCATCTTCTGTACTGGAGGACCAATCCTATCCTTCTTCTGTACTGGTGGACCAGTCCTTTCCATCTTCTGTACTGGTGGACCAGGCCAATCCTTCTTCTGTACTGGTGGACCAGTCCCTTCCATTTTCTGTACTGGAGGACCAGGCCTATCCTTCCTCTATACTGGAGTACCAATCCTATCCATCTTCTGTACTGGAGGACCAGTCCTATCCTTCTTCTATACTGGAGGACCAGTCCTATCCATCTTCTATACTGGTGGACCAGTCCTATCCATCTTCTATACTGGAGGACCAGTACTATCCATCTTCTATACTAGAGGACCAGTACTATCCTTCTTCTATATTGGAGGACCAGGCCTATCCTTCTTCTGTACTGGTGGACCAGTCCTTTCCATCTTCTATGCTGGAGGACCAAGCCTATCTTTCTTCTATACTGGAGGACCAGGCCTATCCTTCTTTTATGGATAATGAAAAAAAGCGAGCGCTCAGAAAAACCAGCTGCTGGAACACTTCAAGGGATCACTAAACCTCATAATGAAGACAATATAAACATATAGTGCAGCGCTGAAAAAGTAATAAATTGAAATGTATAAAAAATATATATATAAAAGTCTTTCTCATGATAATATAGTCGAATATGTGCAGGTCTTCTCCTCATTAGGTGACTGGAAAATAACAAGATTGCGCACTCACCGACCGCCACATTTAAAATGCGCCTGTGTGTGATATATTCCAAAAGACCAGCCAGGTATACAGCTCCAGAGACCACACGGATCCTCCCTCTCCAACACTCTCGTCCGCCTTGGGTGTAGCAATATCTCCAGATCCAAAGGTAGAAAGACAAAGATCCCCCTTTTTTTGGTTCCAGACACCCCAAGAATGGAAGATGTATATCTGCACTCTCCAACAGGAGAGTCAAAGAAAAAGGGGAACGCCAATAGTGTGGTACTATCAAAAACTTTATTGGAGCAATAATGCCTGGGTCATATGCACACATATATCCACACACCATAAGCCAATAACGGACAGGTAGGTATGAAAGGAAAATAGTAGTACTAACCCGGCAATGGCATAAAAACGAAGACCACCAGACCTCCTCTTGGTCTCAGTGGTCTGGAAGTCACACTTGCTACTTGGCTCCTCCTGAGGCCTTTCGTGCAAAAAGACGCGTCCATCCTCTGAAGAAGTGCTTTTTGCACGAAAGGCCTCAGGAGGAGCCAAGTAGCAAGTGTGACTTCCAGACCACTGAGACCAAGAGGAGGTCTGGTGGTCTTCGTTTTTATGCCATTGCCGGGTTAGTACTACTATTTTCCTTTCATACCTACCTGTCCGTTATTGGCTTATGGTGTGTGGATATATGTGTGCATATGACCCAGGCATTATTGCTCCAATAAAGTTTTTGATAGTACCACACTATTGGCGTTCCCCTTTTTCTTTGACTCTCCTGTTGGAGAGTGCAGATATACATCTTCCATTCTTGGGGTGTCTGGAACCAAAAAAGGGGGATCTTTGTCTTTCTACCTTTGGATCTGGAGATATTGCTACACCCAAGGCGGACGAGAGTGTTGGAGAGGGAGGATCCGTGTGGTCTCTGGAGCTGTATACCTGGCTGGTCTTTTGGAATATATCACACACAGGCGCATTTTAAATGTGCGGTCGGTGAGTGCGCAATCTTGTTATTTTCCAGTCACCTAATGAGGAGAAGACCTGCACATATTCGACTATATTATCATGAGAAAGACTTTTATATATATATTTTTATACATTTCAATTTATTACTTTTTCAGCGCTGCACTATATGTTTATATTATCCTTCTTTTATACTGGAGGACCAGTCCTATCCATCTTCTATACTGGAGGACCAGGCCTATCCATATATACATATAGCAACAAAAAAAAATTTTCAGCGGAACAGTCAAGTGCAGCATATAAAAATCAAATATAAAAAATGTTCAATAAATGTGAAACAGTAAAGTGCAGCATAAAAGTGAGAATATATAAAGTCCATAAAATATCAGTGGAGTAAGAGCTATAAATTGTCCGTAAGGATATAAGTACGGCAATCCCGGTGAAATATTGTGAAGTGATCCAGTAGGGAATCCACCACCTCTGTCAGATGTACACTCACCAGACATCTACTGGTAAACGGCATGTAAGCACATCTCATGTGGGTACAGGTAACAGCAATGAAGCCTCTGCAAGGGCTGCTCAGCCAAGGGCACAAAACGCAGATGGACCCTCTCATATGAGGAATAGCAAGATGACCACCGTTCCAACCTTCGGCAACGGCGGCGTGATGTCAGCAAGTGCTGCTCTACCCGACGTGTTTCGTGCGCATGCATGTCTTCAGGGGTACGCTCACTGTGGGTGTTGCATGTCATTAGAGACTGCAAAGTCTAGTCTTTTCAATCTGACAGATCCTGCCTTACTAGAAGTGGGTTCATTTAGACGTAAACCGTAACTGGAGGATATTTTGTTTGCTCTTTAAAAATTTTAAAGGTTTTCCCCTATAAATTTGTCGCCTTTTTTCATGATTTTACCATCTCAGTGCTGTTGATTGCCCCCAGCCTCTTTCAACCACTTCCTGTCTACATATACATGCAATGGCAGCAGCAGGGGTGGACTGACAACTCATGGGGCCCCCCGGCAATAGGGTATCATGGGGCCCCTGTGTCCTTGCCCACACTCAAAAAAGCCTATAAAAAAGTTCCAGGGGCATCTCATGGAGCAGTGCCCGAGTGCTCGAATGGTCAGTCTGCCCCTGGTCAGCAGTACATCATAGCCTTGAACCAGCTTCCGGATAGTGACAACAGTGGACCATGTCTGATCGATGCGTGTCCCTATAGTCACTTGTGGTCACCACCAGAAGCATTGTGAGAGGTGACAACGTAGGAGAGAAAATTGCGAGACAGTTGTCACCCCATTACGAGAAGTGCCTGTTATTCAGCAATCTTGTGACTTCTATCAGTGTCCAGCAGAGCACTGGTTAAAGCTTGTAGGAGGAGTTTTTATTCTGCTCTGACTGTCCTATGAGGCTGCATAACCCCTGACCCCATGGCTGGACACTGCTGATTGGCCCTTTGCTGATCACATGCACCCTCCCAAGAAAAAAAAAAACTCTCTAGCAATAGACACCAAATTGAGCATGTGCAGCTTGCCCCCAAGTCTCTCTTCTATCAGCAGATGGATTGGGGATAGTAGAAGAAGGGGAGGATCAGAGAAGACAGGATCAAACAGTCTTTTTGCACCCCTTAGGTTCCACAGTCAGAATAACAAGTGCCTGTCAGGCTCATTGGAGTTTGTGTTAATGAAGGCTGCAGATTGAAAAAGACTTTTGAAATGACACTAATATGTTAGAGCTTACGAGATTTTAGTGATCATTTACTTTACGTATTTGTCTAACTCAGCCTTTCTCGATAAGGGTGCCATGTCCTTCATGTAAACCTCCCCTGAGTGCAACTCAGGCTGGCCATACACTATACAATTTTTCTGTCCAATTTCTGCCTAATTTCCTTTAGATTTACCTTCAACTATGTAGTGCAAGAGCCGGCCTGATTGGATACAACCGAAAGTGTTGTTAGGTTTGACCTCATATTATATGGTTTTTGGTAAATCTAAACCAAAAATCTCGAGAAAATTGTATAATGTATGGCAAACTGCTCAGATCTACACAGTACAAGAAGAAAACAAACGTGTACATTATATTGTATGATAAGTAACAATGTAACATACAATGTATCATCAGTTTGTATGCTGACACCTCTGTCCCTCTCTGTTCCCAGTATATGTCTGGATTCGGCAATGAGTTTGCCTCGGAGGATCCTCGCTGCCCAGGTGCCTTACCTGAGGGACAGGTGAGTCCACAGTACATTATACAGGGTGTCCCTGAAGTCAGGACATGTCGGCCAAATGCAGATTGTCAATACATTTATCATCGTTTTATGTCATTGGAATATTAATCAATAACATCTTCAATGGGATTTCCTCCATTTGTGAGGGCAAAGTTCCATATGCTTTGCAAGATTCACATGAACCCGATGCAGTAACTCCCCATTTCCGGCAATATGAGTACATTCGTTCATGATGCGTTCCTTCAGGTGATTCACATCTGTGATTTTCACTGAGTACTCCTTTAGCATACCTAAAAAAAGTCAAGGGACCCCGCATTCACTATATCCGTTCCCCCGGACCCCGCATTCACTATATCCGCTCTCCCCGGACCCCGCATTCACTATATCCGCTCTCCCCGGACCCTGCATTCACTATATCCGTTCCCCCGGACCCCGCATTTCACTATATCCGCTCTCCCCGGACCCCGCATTCACTATATCCGCTCCCCCCGGACCCCGCATTCACTATTTCTGGTCTCCCCGGACCCCGCATTCACTATATCCGCTCTCCCCGGACCCCGCATTCACTATATCTGCTCTCCCCGGACCCCGCATTCACTATATCGCTCTCCCCGGGACCCCGCATTCACTATATCCGCTCTCCCCGGACCCCGCATTCACTATATCTGCTCTCCCCGGACCCCGCATTCACTATATCCGCTCTCCCCGGACCCCGCATTCACTATATCCGCTCTCCCCAGACCCCGCATTCACTAGATCCGCTCTCCCGGACCCCGCATTCACTATATCCGCTCTCCCCGGACCCCGCATTCACTATATCTACTCTCCCCAGACCCCGCATTCACTATGTCCGCTCTCCCCAGACCCCGCATTCACTAGATCCGCTCTCCCCCGGACCCCGCATTCACTAGATCCGCTCTCCCCAGAACCCCGCATTCACTAGATCCGCTCTCCCCGGACCCCGCATTCACTATATCCGCTCTCCCCGCACCCCGTATTCACTATATCCGCTCTCCCCGCACCCCGCATTCACTATATCCGCTCTCCCCGGACCCCGCATTCACTATATCCGCTCTCCCCGGACCCTGCATTCCCTATATCTGCTCTCCCCGCATTCACTATATCCGCTCTCCCCGGACCCCGCATTCACTATATCCGGTCTCCCCGGACCCCGCATTCACTATATCCGCTCTCCCCGGACCCCGCATTCACTATATCCGCTCTCCCCGGACCCCGCATTCACTATATCCGCTCCCCCCGGACCCCGCATTCACTATTTCTGGTCTCCCCCCCGGACCCCGCATTCACTATATCCGCTCTCCCCGGACCCCGCATTCACTATATCTGCTCTCCCCGGACCCCGCATTCACTATATCCGCTCTCCCCGGACCCCGCATTCACTATATCCGCTCTCTCCCCGGACCCCGCATTCACTATATCTGCTCTCCCCCCGGACCCCGCATTCACTATATCCGCTCTCCCCGGACCCCGCATTCACTATATCCGCTCTCCCCAGACCCCGCATTCACTAGATCCGCTCTCCCCGGACCCCGCATTCACTATATCCGCTCTCCCCGGACCCCGCATTCACTATATCTACTCTCCCCAGACCCAGCATTCACTATGTCCGCTCTCCCCAGACCCCGCATTCACTAGATCCGCTCTCCCCGGACCCCCGCATTCACTAGATCCGCTCTCCCCAGACCCCCACCCCCCGCATTCACTAGATCCGCTCTCCCCGGACCCCGCATTCACTATATCCGCTCTCCCCGGACCCCGCATTCACTATATCCGCTCTCCCCCGCACCCCGCATTCACTATATCCGCTCTCCCCGGACCCCGCATTCACTATATCCGCTCTCCCCGGACCCTGCATTCCCTATATCTGCTCTCCCCCGCATTCACTATATCCGCTCTCCCCGGACCCCGCATTCACTATATCTGGTCTCCATGGACTCCACATTCACTATAGCCGCTCTCCCCGGACCCCGCATTCACTATATCCGCTCTCCCCGGACCCCGCATTCACTATATCTGGTCTCCCCGGACCCTGCATTCACTATATCCGCTCTCCCCGACCCCGCATTCACTATATCCGCTCTCCCCGGACCCTGCATTCACTATATCCGGTCTCCATGGACTCCGCATTCACTATATCCGCTCTCCCCGGACCCCTGCATTCACTATATCCGCTCTCCCCGGACCCCGCATTCACTATATCCGCTCTCCCCGGACCCCGCATTCACTATATCCGCTCTCCCCGGACCCCGCATTCACTATACCCGCTCTCCCCGGACCCCCCCGCATTCACTGTATCCGCTCTCCCCGGACCCCGCATTCACTATATCCGCTCTCCCCGGACCCCGCATTCACTATATCCGCTCTCCCCGGACCCCGCATTCACTATATCCGCTCTCCCCGGACCCCGCATTCACTATATCCGCTCTCCCCGGACCCCGCATTCACTATATCCGCTTTCCCCGGACCCCGCATTCACTATATCCGCTCTCCCCGGACCCCGCATTCACTATATCCGCTCTCCCCCGGACCCCGCATTCACTATATCCGCTTTCCCCGGACCCCGCACTCACTATATCCGCTCTCCCCGGACTCCGCATTCACTATATCCCCTCTCCCCGGACCCGCATTCACTATATCCGCTCTCCCCGACCCCGCATTCACTATATCCCCTCTCCCCGGACCCCGCATTCACTATATCCCCTCTCCCCTCCCCGGACCCCGCATTCACTATATCCCCTCTCCCCGGACCCCGCATTCACTATATCCCCTCTCCCCGGACCCCGCATTCACTATATCCCCTCTCCCCGGACCCCGCATTCACTATATCCGCTCTCCCCGGACCCCGCATTCACTATATCCCTCTCCCCGGACCCCGCATTCACTATATCCGCTCTCCCCGGACCCCGCATTCACTATATCCGCTCTCCCCGGACCCCGCATTCACTATATCCGCTCTCCCCGGACCCCGCATTCACTATATCCGCTCTCCCCGGACCCCGCATTCACTATATCCGCTCTCCCCGGACCCTGCATTCACTATACCCGCTCTCCCCGGACCCCGCATTCACTGTATCCGCTCTCCCCGGACCCCGCATTCACTATATCCCCTCTCCCCGGACCCCGCATTCACTATATCCCCTCTCCCCGGACCCTGCATTCACTATATCCGCTCTCCCCGGACCCCGCATTCACTATATCCGCTCTCCCCGGACCCTATATGTACACATATAGTGATATTTCCTGTGTCCAGACTTTAGTGACATCCTGTAGAAGAGGTTATTGGGTGGCATCACAAATTCTTCAATAGGGAGAAATAAACTTCCACCATAATGTGTGTGCTTCACTCTCAGTCACCAACCAGATTCCACTATTCTCTGCTGGTTTTATTAATATTATTTTTATTTAAATTTAATATGATACAATAATATAGCTCTGACATATACCGCAGCGCTGTACAGAGATCACTGAGCTAGTCACATGTCCAGAGGAGCTTACATGCTAATGTCCCCTCCCCCACAGTCACATCAGTCTCTGTACCAGAGGAGCTTACACTCTAATGTCCCCTCCCCCACAGTCACATCAGTCTCTGTACCAGAGGAGCTTACACTCTAATGTCCCCTCCTCCACAGTCACATCAGTCTCCGTACCAGAGGAGCTTACACTCTAATGTCCCCTCCCCACAGTCACATCAGTCTCTGTACCAGAGGAGCTTACACTCTAATGTCCCCTCCTCCACAGTCACATCAGTCTCTGTATCAGAGGAGCTTACACTCTAATGTCCCCTCCCCCACAGTCACATCTGTCTCTGTACCAGAAGAGCTTACACTCTAATGTCCCCTCCCCCACAGTCACACACTGTTCAATGTAAATCTGTCAGTGTGTGGGAGGATCCCTGTTTCTATTGTCTGTTACAGAATAATCCCCAGGTTTGTCCGCACGGTCTGTACGCAGAGCAGCTCTCCGGCTCGGCCTTCACCTGTCCCAGGAGCTCCAATAAGAGAAGGTACCCTCTGATGTTCTGTGTTCATTCTGTGATTTGTGCCCAGGATCCGATCTATGACAACCTGAGATGCCAGCTGTATCGTCTAATCCCCCCCGGGCCCAGTATGTGGCAGGAGGGTCACATGTGGCCCTTTGATACTTCTCGTGTGGCCCTTTGTAGACCCCAGTTATGGCAGTGGGAGCATTGATTTGTAAAGAAGCTGTAATAACAGAGATTTCTAACCATCTCCCATCACAGATTAATGCTGAATTCTTTTTTTAATCGCACAAATATTTGATGACAATTAACAATGTATCGACTCATTCATTTTTTTCATCTTTGCATATATATTCTTCAGCTGTGCTGGAAAGTATTCTTCAACGAAACACTTCAGTGGGCCATTCTGGGTTTTTTTCCTAAATGTAGAACTCCCAACCAGGGGCAGACTGACAACTCATGGGGCCCCCGGGCAATAGGGGATCATGGGGCCCCTGTGTCCTTGCCCAAACTCAAAAAGCCTATGAAAAAGGTACCAGGGGCATCTCATGGGGCCCCCTACTGACCCCGAGTTTCCAACTGGTCAGTCCGCCCCTGCTCCCAACATGAGTTTTCTTTCCATCTCTGGATAGTGAGAGGAAGGATTGGATCCCCTTCCTGACACCAGATGCAAAGGGTGCCGGAGTTCCGGTTCAACGTAATTGGAGTCGTTTGCTATTGGTTACCACCCTTGGCACAAAACCACTTCTTCTTGCATTGCTTCCTTCAAGGGACAGTCCACCTAAAAATGATGTCAGTCAGTTGTAGGAGGACTGTTCTGGGCTGGGCTTCTGTTGTATCTTGGCTGGTTGTTTTCTAGCTCAGACTTTGTATGTTCCAACTCTTCCTGTTATATCCTTCATAACGTAAAGAGACTTGGGAACTCAGCACAGGGATGATGGGAACCCCTCATAATGGGCACAGCCAGACCCGGGAACTCAGCACAGGGATGGTGGGAACCCCTCATAATGGGCACAGCGGGTGTACAGACCCGGGAACTCAGCACAGGGATGGTTGGAACCCCTCATAATGGGCACAGCGGGTGTACAGACCTGGGAACTCAGCACAGGGATGGTGGGAACCCCTCATAATGGTCACAGTAGGTGTGCAGACCTGGGAACTCAACACAAGGATGGTGGGAATCCCTCATAATGGGCACAGCGGGTGTACAGACCTGGGAACTCAGAACCGAGATGGTGGGAACCCCTCATAATGGGCATAGCGGGTGCACAGACCTGGGAACTCAGAACAGAGATGGTGGGAACCCCTCATAATGGTCACAGTAGGTGTGCAGACCTGAGAACTCAGCATAGGGATGGTGGGAACCTCTCATAATGGGCACAGTGGGTGTACAGACCTGGGAACTCAGAACAGAGATGGTGGGAACCCCTCATAATGGGCACAGTAGGTGTGCAGATCTGGGAACTCAGCACAGGGATGGTGGGACCCCTCATATTGGGCACAGCAGGTGTTCAGACCTGGAAACTCAGCACAGGGATGGTGGGAACCCATCATAATCGACACAGTAGGTATGTAGACCAGGAAATTGGTGCAGGGATGGTGGGAGTTTCTCATAATGGACACAGCAGGTGTACAGACCTGGGAACTCAGCACGGGGATGGTGGGAACCCCTCATAATGGGCACAGTAGGTGTGCAGACCTGGGAACTCCGTAGTATAGGGATGGTGGGAACCCCTCATAATGGGCACAGCGGGTGTACAGACCTGGGAACTCAGCACAGGGATGGTGGGAACCCCTCATATTGGGCACAGCAGGTGTGCAGGGAACCTGGGAACTCTCTGGTTCACTGATCCAATGGAGATCTAGTACTATGTACCTCCAGTAGGACACTAGAATATCCTGAAGACCTTTCTTCTCTGACTTGATAATGATGTCTTGTCCTTCACTGTTGGCAGCTGGCTGTATCGTATTTTACCTTCTGTCCGCCACAAACCATTTCAGCCGTACAAGCAGAGTAACCTGACTCATAACTGGGATGAAGTGGAACCGGATCCCAATCAGGTACTGTGGGAAAAAGATCGATATTTTACATTGGGTGATGGATCGGTCATTATAAATGGGTGAAGTAAAAAAACGCCAACAAACCTATCAGTGTGTGAAACGGACATTCCCTATTGACCATGGCCATATCTGTTCACTAGCCACACAGGCTATTCGCTATGGCAACATGGCCAATGGGTGGGAGGGGGTCAAGGGCGCTTAGATGCCAACATAGGGCGCTGATAGTCAGTATCACAATCTGGTGTCTAATTAAATATTCAAGACTGCCTGCCAGTGCTATCCACCCATGCACATCCTTTTTTTTATCTTTACACCAGAGATACATATGGCCAAAATTATGTGGACCCTTCGCCAAACAACTCCAGGTGTCTCCTGCGAAGGGTACTGCAGCACACAAAGACATTTTAGGCAATTGTTCGCTATCAACCTTTTGATGGTGAAGGACCTTTTTTGTTTCAGAATGACTGTGCCCCTGTGTACAAAATTGACTCCATAAAGACATGTTTGACCTGTTTGGTATGGAGGAACTTGAGTGTCCTGTACAAAGCCCTGACCTCAACCCTACTGAATACTTTTGTGATAAATGGGAATGCTGAGTCAGGTCTTCTCATCATCAGGACCTGACCCTACAATGGGTACAAATTCCTGCAGACACACTACAAAATCTTGTGGGAAGCCTTCCAGATGAATGAAGGCTGTTATAGCCACAACGGAGGGGGCAACCTCATATTAATGCCCATGGTTTTGGAATGGATGTCCTACAAGGTCACTTGGGTGTGATAGTCAAGTGGGATGTCCTACAAGTTCATAAATGTGTGATAATCAAGAAGGATGTTCTACAAGCTCATATAGGAGTGATGATCAGGTGGGATGTCCTACATGTTCAAATAAGTATGATGTTCAGGTGGGATGTCCAACAAGTCCATATAGGTATGATGGTCAGGTGGGATGTTCTACAAGCTCATATAGGTGTATTATGTCCTAAAAGCTCCTATAGGTGTTATGGTCAAGTGGGATGACCTACAAGCTCCTATAGGTGTTATGGTCAAGTGGGATGACCTACAAACTCATATAGGCATGATGTTCTGGTGGGATGACCTACAACCTCATATGGGTATGATGCTCAGGTGGGACGACCTACAAGCTCATATAGGTATGGTGTTCTGGTGGGACGACCTACAAGCTCATATAGGTATGATGTTCTGGTGGGACGACCTACAAGCTCATATAGGTATGATGTTCTGGTGGGATGACCTACAAGCTCATATAGGTATGATGTTCAGGTGGGATGACCTACAAGCTCATATAGGTATGATGTTCAGGTGGGATGACCTACAAGCTCATATAGGTATGGTGTTCTGGTGGGATGAACTACGAGCTCATATAGGTATGATGTTCAGGTGGGATGATCTACGAGCTCATATAGGTATGATGTTCAGGTGGGACGACCTACAAGCTCATATAGGTATGATGTTCAGGTGGGACGACCTACAAGCTCATATAGGTATGATGTTCAGGTGGGACGACCTACGAGCTCATATAGGTATGATGTTTAGGTGGGATGACCTACGAGCTCATATAGGTATGATGTTTCCTGGTGGGATGACCTACGAGCTCATATAGGTATGATGTTCTGGTGGGATGACCTACGAGCTCATATAGGTATGATGTTCAGGTGGGATGACCTACAAGCTCATATAGGTATGGTGTTCTGGTGGGATGACCTACGAGCTCATATAGGTATGATGTTCAGGTGGGATGATCTACGAGCTCATATAGGTATGATGTTCAGGTGGGACGACCTACAAGCTCATATAGGTATGATGTTCAGGTGGGATGACCTACAAGCTCATATAGGTATGATGTTCAGGTGGGACGACCTACAAGCTCATATAGGTATGATGTTTAGGTGGGATGACCTACAAGCTCATATAGGTATGATGGTGAGGTGAAATGACCTACAAGCTCATATAGGTATGATGGTCAGGTGGAATGACCTACAAGCTCATATAGGTATGATGTTCTGGTGGGATGACCTACGAGCTCATATAGGTATGATGTTCAGGTAGGATGACCTACGAGCTCATATAGGTATGATGTGTTCAGGTAGGATGACCTACGAGCTCATATAGGTATGATGTTCTGGTGGGATGACCTACGAGCTCATATAGGTAATGATGTTCAGGTAGGATGACCTACGAGCTCATATAGGTATGATGTTCAGGTAGGATGACCTACGAGCTCATATAGGTATGATGTTCAGGTAGGATGACCTACGAGCTCATATAGGTATGATGTTCTGGTAGGATGACCTACAAGCTCATATAGGTATGGTGTTCTGGTGGGATGACCTACAAGCTCATATAGGTATGATGGTCAGGTGTACCCAAACATTAGGCTATATAGTATATATAATTATACATTCTAAATTCCCCTATTAACTAGTTTGTGTTCCTCTGCAGTTGAGGTGGAAATCATTCATAATAGAGGAGAAGAAGCAGGACTTTGTGGATGTAAGTATTTTTTTTTTGTAACAAAAGAATCAAACCCCCACCCAGCTCATGAACTGTGTTTGCTGATAATATTTATGTTGACAATCTGTTTACTTTCAAATCTGACAAAATGGCATTTAACTCCTATGTAAATTTAGTTGATAAGTAAGAAGTAATGACCTGTGCCGTCTATGCCTTGGCAGGGTTTGCGCACAATCTGTGGAGCCGGTGATGTAAAGTCACGCAATGGAATTGCCATCCATATTTACACGTGCAACACCTCCATGATTGACAGGTATGAGGGTAATATGGACTTTCTGTACTTTTTCCCTGAACTCACACTCTACCCTCTAATATAGCACCATGTGCAACGTGTATCTTCATACTGTCCCTGCTCTCTATCCTGCCCCTGTCCTGCTCTCTATCCTGCCCCTGTCCCTGCTCTCTATTCTGCCCCGTCCCTGCTCTCTATCCTGCCCCTGTCCCTGCTCTCTATCCTGCCCTGCTCTTTATTCTTCCTCTGCTCTCTTTCTTGTTCCTGTGTCTGCTTTCTATTTTGTACATGTCCCTGCTCTCTATCATTTTCCTGTGTCTGTGCTCTCTCCTATCCCACTCCCTGCCCTCTTTTATGTCATTGTCCCTGCCCTCTATCCTGTCCCTGCCCCAGTTGTCTATCCTCTCCCTGCCCTCTGTCCTGTCCCTGCTCTCTGTCCAGTCCCTGTCCTCTATCCTGTCCCTGTCCTTTATCCTGTTGCTGCTTTCTATTCTGTCCATCTGTCTGCCCTATATCCTGTCCCTCCCCCTGCCCTCTATCCTATCCCGTCCCTGCCCTCTGTCCCGTCCCTCCTCCTCCTCTCTATCCTGTCCCTGCTCTCTATCCTGTCCCTCCTCCTCCTCTCTATCCTGTCCCTGCCCTCCATCCTGCCCCTGCTCCTATCTGCCCCTGCTCTCCATCCTGCTCCTGCCCTTTATCCTGTCCCCTCTCCCTGTCCTGCCCCTATCTCTCCCCTCTATCCTGCTCCCTGCCCTTTATCCTGTCCCTCCTGTCCCTCTCCCTGTCCCTGTCCTGCCCTGCCTGCCCTCTATCCTGCCCCTGCCCTCTATCCCTGTCCCTCCTATCCTGTCCCTGCCCTCTTATCCTGCCCTGCCCTCTATCCTGTCTGCCCTCTGTCCTGTCCCTGCCCTCTGTATCCCTCTGTCTCTGTCCCTGCCCCTATCCTGCCCCCTGCCTTCTCTATCCCACCCTGCTCTCTCTCTCTGTCCACACTCTGTCCCCGTCCCTGCCTCTCTCTCTGTCCTTCACTCCCTCTGTCCCTGCCCTCTCTACACTCTGTCCCTGTCCCTGTCCCTGCTCTCACTCTGTCCCTGTCCCTGCTCTCTCTGTCCTTATGCTCTCTTAGCTCCTCCCTGCTCTACACTCTGTCCCTGTCCCAGCTCTCTCTGTCCTTTGCTCTACACTCTGTCCCTGTCCAGCTCTCTCTGTCCTTCGCTCTACACTCTGTCCCTGTCCCAGCTCTCTCTCTGTCCTTCGCTCTACACTCCCCTGTCCCAGTCCCTGTCCCTCTCTCTCTGTCCTTCGCTCTACACTCTGTGTCCCTGCTCTCTCTGTCCTTCGCTCTACACTCTGTCCCTGTCCCTGCTCTCTCTCTGTCCTTCGCTCTACACTCTACACTCTGTCCCTGTCCCTGCTCTCTCTGTCCTTCGCTCTACACTCTGTCCCTGTCCCTGCTCTCTCTGTCCTTCGCTCTACACTCTGTCCCTGTCCCTGCTCCTCTGTCCTTCGCTCTACACTCTGTCCCTGTCCCCCAGCTCTCTCTGTCCTTCGCTCTACACTCTGTCCCTGTCCCTGCTCTCTCTGTCCTTCGCTCTACACTCTGTCCCTGTCCCTGCTCTCTCTGTCCTTCGCTCTACACTCTGTCCCTGTCCCTGCTCTCTCTGTCCTTCGCTCTACACTCTGTCCCTGTCCCAGCTCTCTCTGTCCTTCGCTCTACACTCTGTCCCTGTCCCTGCTCTCTCTGTCCTTCGCTTCCCTCTACACTCTGTCCCTGTCTCTCTCTCTCTCTGTCCTTCGCTCTACACTCTGTCCCTGTCCCTCTCTCTCTGTCCTTCGCTCCTACACTCTGTCCCTGTCCCAGCTCTCTCTCCTTCGCTCTACACTCTGTCCCTGTCCCAGCTCTCTCTGTCCTTCGCTCTACACTCTGTCCTGTCCCTGCTCTCTCTGTCCTTCGCTCTACACTCTGTCCCTGTCCCAGCTCTCTCTGTCCTTCGCTCTACACTCTGTCCCTGTCCCAGCTTCTCTCTCTGTCCTTCTCTACACTCTGTCCCTGTCCCTGCTCTCTCTGTCCTTCGCTCTACACTCTGTCCCTGTCCCTGCTCTCTCTGTCCTTCGCTCTACACTCTGTCCCTGTCCCTGCTCTCTCTGTCCTTCGCTCTACACTCTGTCCCTGCTGCTCTCTGTCCTTCGCTCTACACTCTGTCCCTGTCCCAGCTCTCTCTGTCCTTCGCTCTACACTCTGTCCCTGTCCCTGCTCTCTCTGTCCTTCGCCTCTACACTCTGTCTGTCCCAGTCCCAGCTCTCTCTGTCCTTCGCTCTACACTCTGTCCCTGTCCCAGCTCTCTCTGTCCTTCGCTCTACACTCTGTCCCTGTCTACACTCTGTCCCTGTCCCAGCTCTCTCTGTCCTTCGCTCTACACTCTGTCCCTGTCCCAGCTCTCTCTGTCCTTCGCTCTACACTCTCTGTCCCTGTCCTCTGTCCTTCGCTCTCTCTCTGTCCTTCGCTCTACACTCTGTCCCTGTCCCTCTCTCTGTCCTTCGCTCTACACTCTGTCCTTGTCCCAGCTCTCTACACTCTGTCCCTCCCAGCTCTCTCTGTCCTTCGCTCTACACTCTGTCCTGCTCTCTCTGTCCCTCTGTTCTGTCCTTCGCTCTACACTCTGCTGTCTACACACTCTGTCTACCCTGTCCCTGTCCCTGCTCTCTCTGTCCTTCGCTCTACACTCTGTCCCTGTCCCTGCTCTCTCTGTCCTTCGCTCTACACTCTGTCCCTGTCCCTGCTCTCTCTGTCCTTCGCTCTACACTCTGTCCCTGTCCCTGCTCTCTCTGTCCTTCGCTCTACACTCTGTCCCTGTCCCTGCTCTCTCTGTCCTGTCCCATCCTTCCTTCGCTCTACACTCTGTCCCTGTCCCTCTCTCTCTGTCCTTCGCTCTACACTCTGTCCCTGTCCCTGCTCTCTCTGTCCTTCGCTCTACACTCTGTCCCTGTCCCTGCTCTCTCTGTCCTTCGCTCTACACTCTGTCCCTGTCCCAGCTCTCTCTGTCCTTCTCTGTCCCTGCTCCCTGTCTCTCTACACTCTCCCTGTCCTTCGCCTCTCTACACTCTGTCCCTGTCCCAGCTCTCTCTGTCCTTCGCTCTACACTCTCCCTGTCCCTGCTCCTCTGTCCTTCGCTCTAAACTCTGTCCTGTCCCTGCTCTCTCTGTCCTTCGCTCTACACTCTGTCCCTGTCCCTGCTCTCTCTGTCCTTCGCTCTACACTCTGTCCCTGTCACAGCTGTCCTCTGTCCCTGCTCTCTCTGTCCTTCGCTCTACACTCTGTCCCTGTCCCTGCTCTCTCTGTCCTTCGCTCTGTCCTGTCGCTCTCTCTGTCCTTCGCTCTACACTCTGTCCCTGTCCCTGCTCTCTCTGTCCTTCGCTCGTCCCTGTCTGCTACTCTGTCCTTCGCTCTACTCTGTCCCTGTCCCTGCTCTCTCTGTCTCTCTACACTCTGTCCTTCTCTGTCCTTCGCTCTACACTCTGTCCCTGTCCCTGCTGTCCTTCGCTCTCTCTCTGTCCTTCGTCCTCTACACTGTCTGTCCCTGCTCTCTGTCCCGCTGTCCCAGCTCTCTCTGTCCTTCGCTCTACACTCTGTCCCTGTCCCAGCTCTCTCTGTCCTTCGCTCTACACTCTGTCCCTGTCCCTGCTCTCTCTGTCCTTCGCTCTACACTCTGTCCCTGTCCCTGCCTCTCTGTCCTTCGCTCTACACTCGGTCCCTGTTCCAGCTCTTTCTGTCCTTCGCTCTGCACTCTGTCCCTGTCCCAGCTCTCTCTGTCCTTCGCTTTACACTCGGTCCCTGTCCCAGCTCTCTCTGTCCTTCGCTCTACACTCTGTCCCTGTCCCAGCTCTCTCTGTCCTTCGCTCTACACTCGGTCCCTGTCCCAGCTCTCTCTGTCCTTCGCTTTACACTCGTCCCTGTCCCAGCTCTCTCTGTCCTTCGCTTTACACTCGGTCCCTGTCCCAGCTCTCTCTGTCCTTCTGTCCTTCTTTACACTCGGTCCCTGTCCCAGCACTGTGTTGTGAAATACATTTTATTTTCTTCCTTCTCTGTGACTCTAATGGTCAAACAGTATTGGACATCCAGCTGAGGCCATTCAACCTCTGAGGGTTCACTGAGCCCTCTAGTCCCTACCCTGTCACTGACATTCCCACTCCTTACCCATCATACAGTCACAGGATATCTAGAACAATCTGCGTTCTCTGAAGTCTTCTGATATATTTCCTCTTCCCATTTCTAGGTGTTTAAATAACTCGGACGGCGACTTTCTCATCGGTGAGCGGCACTTTAGCTACAAAGAATCTGAAAAATAATTTCAAACGTTAACGTCTAACAAAGTTAGAACAGTGAAAGAGGGTTCAGGAATCAGGAATATGTGATTTTACTCTTTAAAATCATCAAAAAGCAATGTGAGACAATTGGAAACTATGTGAGTATAACCTGCGCAGAGAACCAATCAGACTGGCTGCTGCTGCTGGCAAAATCACAAATGTGTACCGGAGAACAAATGTGTGAGTGCAAACAGAAAAAGTGCTGCGCTGCCTCTACCAAAGAATAAATAAATAAATGAACTCCCTGCTACATAAAGGAACCCTACAAATGTGCATTTACTACAATGCCCCAATGTGGGCCGACAATTATATCCCTCCTCCCCCCCCGTGACTACATCATAAATAAACCAATATGTAAGTTCAACGTGCGTAAACGACAAAAGTGCTAAAAATAGCACATATACAATGCCATCAACCTGTGTATACAGTGAAATTGTGTATAAAAATAATATATATATATATATACACACACACACATATATATATATATACACACATATATTATTATACAGGATTTATATAGCGCCAACAGTTCGCTCAGCGCTGTGTACATTACAATGGGATACAATACATGAGACAGTACAGTAACAATACAATACACGAGGGGTTTGAGGGCCCTGCTCCTTGGAGCTTACAATCTAGGAGGGAGGGGATGGTGGCACAGGAGGAGATAGCTGTGGGGGATGGAGTGGTAGGAGGAGTGGAGGAGATCGGCAGTTAGCAGAGGGCGGGGTAGGCTTCCCTGAAGAGATGGGTTTTCAGGGTGCGCCTAAAGGAGAGGAGAGTAGGTGATAATCTGGTGGATTGGGGTAAGGAGTTTCAGAGGGTGGGTGATGCCCTGGAGAAGTCCTGGAGGCGGGCATGGGAGGAGGAGACCAGGGAACTAGAGAGAAGGAGGTCTTGTGAGGAGCGGAGTGTGCGTGTTGGGTGGTACTTGGATATTAGGTCGGTGATGTAGTTCGGGGCAGTATGGTGGACGGCTTTGTACATCAGTGTTAGGATTTTGAATTTGATCCGTTGGGCAATCGGAAGCCAGTGGAGGGATTGGCAGAGGGGGGTGGAGGACACTGAGTGGAGGCCAGTGGAGGGATTGGCAGAGGGGGGTGGAGGACACTGAGTGGAGGCCAGTGGAGGGATTGGCAGAGGGGGGGAGGACACTGAGTGGAGGCCAGTGGAGGGATTGGCAGAGGCGGGGAGGACACTGAGTGGAGGCCAGTGGAGGGATTGGCAGAGGGGGGTGGAGGACACTGAGTGGAGGTCAGTGGAGGGATTGGCAGAGGGGGGGAGGACACTGAGTGGAGGCCAGTGGAGGGATTGGCAGAGGGGGGTGGAGGACACTGAGTGGAGGCCAGTGGAGGGATTGGCAGAGGGGGGTGGCAGAAACGGAGCGGTTGGAAAGGTGGATGAGTCTGGCAGCCGTATTCAGGATGGACTGAAGCGGGGATAGCCTGTTGTGAGGCAGGCCAGTGAGGAGGGAGTTGCAGTAGTCCAGTCGTGATATGATGAGGGAGTGGATGAGCTGTTTAGTGGTTTCTGGGGTTAGGAACGTGCGGATTTTGGCCATGTTGTGGAGGTGGAGTCTGCACGAGTTTGTTAGCGATTGAACTTGGGGCTGGAAGGACAGATTGGAGCCTAGAATGACACCAAGTACTCTGGCCTGCGGGGTGGGCCTGATGGTGGCATTGTGTATATATATATATATATATATATATATATATATATACACATACACATACACACACGCTATATATATATATATACATGCTGCAAACAGTGACCACATAAACACCCAGCATGCATGAGTAGAGAACACCACCATGATCCTATGATCCTTGGGTGACAGATTTAAATGGTCTGATCATGGTAGTGTTCTCTACTCAGGCATGCTGGGTGTTTATGTGGTCACTGTTGGCAGCGTGGAGAAACCCTCAAAGACCAGGTGAAAATAAAGAAATAATAAAGAAAACGAAGGATTGCTGGTGGAGGAGAACTGTGGAGGTTTTGGAGGAGTTTTGTCGCAGACGATTGGTCTAGAGGTGTTTCCACTATGGAGTCTGTCATCAGCGTATAGAGGTACCTAGACCACACGGACAGCCAACCTTTCCTGCAGGAGAGCGCTGCAACATCTCATGCTATAATTGGCCAACCATTCCAGGTGGTCAGTTATCTGTGGTGAGGGGGGGCTCTGGAGGGGGAGCACCGATTGGAGCACAACGCACAGAGAATTGCTATGGATAAGAAGATTTACTACTGTATCACTTAGTATTCACATTGGATGTGGATGGGGGTTTCTTTGTGATGCGATGAAGCCTGCTGACAGCTGAAACATTTAAAGAATGTTTTTAGTTTTAGTAGCTGTCGTGGTCGAACTTTCATTAGGTTCAAATGTTCGACCGCAAACCGAACACATTTGCCCATCACTATTTGGAAGTATATACGATTGGATTTTCAGACTGGACCAATGCTGGCAGAACCTTGTTCTGAGGACTCAGAATATTTGTATGGGAAAAATATATTTACGACCATCTTAGTGTCTTTAGAAGAAGACACCATATTACAATTTACAGCAGCAAAGTCTCACTTTATGGCAGCCACTATAGATACCTAGAATGTGACTATTGTCACTGGAGCTAAAAGTGAGGAAAAATCCAAAATGTTGAGTTGTCAAAAGAACAAGACGCTTATTCCAGTGACAACTGGCCAAGAGGGGATGAGACTGGGTTTGGTCCAAACCAGAAAGCCAGCTGTTGGTGCCAGGCACAGGGGCAATGCTTGACACATTGCCCTAATATGGGGCGGGGTCAATGATCATGACATTAGGTCATTGCCCTCAATATGGCCACTCGGCCATTATTAGGTCGGTCATTGATCAGATATGGCCACTCAGCCATATTAGGTCGATCATTGATCAGATATGGCCACTCAGCCATTATTAGGTCGTTATTGATCAGATATGGCCACTCAGGCCACTATTAGGTCGATCATGATCACATATGGCCACTCAGCCATTATTAGGTCAGTCATTGATCAGATATGGCCACTCAGCCACTATTAGGTCGATCATTGATCAGATATGGCCACTCAGCCACTATTAGGTCGATCATTGATCAGATATGGCCACTCAGCCATTATTAGGTCGGTCATTGATCAGAGATATGGCCACTCAGCCATTATTAGGTCGGTCATTGATCAGATATGGCCACTCAGCCACTATTAGGTCGGTCATTGATCAGATATGGCCACTCAGCCACTATTAGGTCGGTCATTGATCAGATATGGCCACTCAGCCATATTAGGTCAGTTATTGATCAGATATGGCCACTCAGCCACTATTAGGTCGATCATTGATCACATATGGCCACTCAGCCATTATTAGGTCAGTTATTGATCAGATATGGCCACTCAGCCACTATTAGGTCGATCATTGATCATATGGCCATCAGATATGGGCCACTCAGCCACTATTAGGTCGATCATTGATCAGATAGGTCAGCCACTATTAGGTCGATCATGATCAGATATGGCACTCAGCCACTATTAGGTCGGTCATTGATCAGATATGGCCACTCAGCCATTATTAGGTCGGTCATTGATCAGATATGGCCACTCAGCCACTATTAGGTCGGTCATTGATCAGATATGGCCACTCAGCCATTTAGGTCGGTCATTGATCAGATATGGCCACTCAGCCATCGGTTATTGATCAGATATGGCCACTCAGCCATATTAGGTCGGTCATTGATCAGATATGGCCACTCAGCCACTATTAGGTCGATCATTGATCAGATATGGCCACTCAGCCATTATTAGGTTGGTCATTGATCAGATATGGCCACTCAGCCATTATTAGGTCGGTCATTGATCAGATATGGCCACTCAGCCACTAGCCATTGATCAGATATGGCCACTCAGCCACTATTAGGTCGGTCATTGATCAGATATGGCCACTCAGCCACTATTAGGTCGGTCATTGATCATTGGCCACTCAGCCATTATTAGGTCGGTTATTGATCAGATATGGCCACTCAGCCATTATTAGGTCGGTTATTGATCAGATATGGCCACTCAGCCACTATTAGGTCGGTCATTGATCAGATATGGCCACTCAGCCATTATTAGGTCAGTCATTGATCAGATATGGCCATATTAGGGAAATGATGTAACGAGCATCGTGGCTTTTTTTGCGTGGAATCCCCCGCCATCTGCTCATTGGCCAAGGAATGACAACTGCCTTCTGGGTTTGGATGAAACTTCCCATCATTTCTTGCTGTGTCCCTAAGTCAGGACGTGAAGCAAAATCTCCCCAATGGGACAAAGGCAGGGAAAAAAATGAGTGAGGCTACAACACATCCAAAAAACAAAAACATTTTTTTTTTTGGCTCTAGATATAATTTAAGAGGGATAAAAAAAGAATTAAAGTTATCAGTATGTACTTTTCTTATCTCTGCAGTCACTTCCCGTTTGCATCTGGTCCAGAGGCGGACTGACCATTTGGAAACTCGGGCACTGCCTGAGGGCCCGGGGTCAGTAGGGGGCCCCATGAGATGCCCCTGGTACCTTTTTCCTAGATTTTTTTGAGTTTGGGCAAGGACACAGAGGCCACATGATCCCCTATTGCCCGGGGGCCACATGAGTTGTCAGTCCGCCCCTGATCTGGTCATATTTCTTACAGCAGGTCCAAAGTGATATTGTACTCCAAAAAGGCAAATGGATAGAACTGAGGGTGGGAGCTAAGTGGGCGCTGCGTGCTATCATATGTGTCATGTTTCATATGTATGTAAAGGCAGATATGGTGAAGCAAGCTCTGTGCTTTGTATAGATTTAATTTGAATCTCATTTCCTGATTTGGGGCATAGTTCAGTTGTTGGTATAAGAAAAGTTCCTTTGTCAAATACACTATATTGTCAAAAGTATTGGGCCAGCCCTCCAAATTATTGGATTAAGTGGTTCCAATCCCCTCCATGGACACAGGTGTATACAATCAAGCCCCTAGGCATGCAGACTGCTTCTACAAACATTGGTGAAAGAATGGGTCGCTCTCAGGAGCTTAGTGACTCCAAGCGTGGTCCCGTGATAGGTGGCCACCTGGGCAATAAGTCCATCCGTGACATTTCCTGGCTACTAAATATTCCACGCTCAACTGTTAGTGGGATTATAACAAAGTGGAAGCAACTGGGAACAACAGCAACTCAGCCACCAAGTGGTAGGCCACGTCACATGACAGAGCGGGGTCAGCGCATGCTGAAGCGCACAGTGCACAGAAGTCGCCAACTGTCTGCAGAGTCAATAGCTAAAGACCTCCAAACTTGGTGTGGCCTTCAGATGAGCCCAACAACAGTGCATAGAGAGCTTCATGGAATGGGTTTCCATGGCCGAGCAGCTGCATCCAAGCCTTCCATCACCAAGTGCAATGCAAAGCGTCGGATGCCGTGGTGTAAAGCACGCTGCCACTGGACTCTAGAGCAGTGGAGGCGTGTTCTCTGGAGGGACCAATCACGCTTCTCTGTCTGGCAATCCGATGGACATGTCTGGGTTTGGCGGTTGCCAGGAGAACGGTACTTGCCTGACTGCATTGTGCCAAGTGTAAAGTTTGGGGAGGGGGGATTATGGTGTGGGGTTGTTTTTCAGGGGTTGGGCTTGGCCCCCCAGTTCCAGTGAAGGGAACTCTTAAGGCAACATTTTGGACAATTTCATGCTTCCAACTTTGTGGGAAGAGTTTAGGGATGGCCCCTTCCTGTTCCAACATGACTGCGCACCAGTGCACAAAGCAAGGTCCATAAAGACATGGAGGAGCCAGTTTGGGGTGGAGGAACTTGACTGTCCTGCACAGAGTCCTGACCTCAACCCCATAGAACACCTTTGGGATGAATTAGAGCAGAGACTGTGAGCCAGGCCTCCTCCCCCGACATCAGTGCCTGACCTGACAAATGTGCTTCTAGAAGAATGGTCCAACCTTCCCATAGACACCCTCCTAAACCTTGTGGACGGCCTTCCCAGGAGAGTTGAAGCTGTTATAGCTGCAAAGGGCGGGGCCAACTCAATATTGAACCCTACGGACTAAGACTGGGGGGCCATTAAAGGTCATGTGCGTGGAAAGGGCGGGGCCAACTCAATATTGAACCCTACAGACTAAGACTGGGGGACCATTAAAGGTCATGTGTGTGGAAAGGCAGGAGGCCCAATACTGAACCCTACGGACTAAGACTGGGGGGCCATTAAAGGTCATGTGCGTGGAAAGGCCGGCTGACCAATACGTTTGACAATATAGTGTACGTCGAAATGGAATAATATTGGCTTATTACAAGTCCCAGGATTTATTTTGTAGTTTATGTTCTCATTACATTCTGTACTATAGAATCATTTTGGCAGCTGCTGTAATAAATGGAAAAAAGGACTATATTTCTTATTCCAAACAGAAAGTGTTCCCAGCTGGTACACTGGCGCCCTCTATCGTCTGATTGTAATAACTGTCTGCAAAGAATGGAAAATGTTGGAAATCTTTACACACAGAACTTAGTTTCTATAAAGAGAACCTGTTATTTTAAAAAATGGCAAGGCCTTTCCCCTCCCATTATATGGTTTTAAAAAGAACCCCATATATTTTAATAGCAGTCTGTCCAGTAACATTGTGGGAGCGTTCTCTTTTTCCGTGGTGGTGGCTGGGGGCTCCATTCCTCTAGGACCATGTGGCACTTATATATTGACATATGGAGGCTGCTCAGTCCTGGAGCATCGCAAGTCCAGCCTACCTGATATCAGATCCATACAGGAATTTTAACAAGGCAGTAGTATGTATCATTCAAGCGAGGATAAAGTATTTGTGGAGACCGTACAAATGTAAAAGGGCCCTCTGGGACTTAGGGGCCCATTTATACTGGATGTGGTTCGGATAAACGTGCAGTGATCCCATTCATTGTCATGAGACCTGAATACAACTCACTTCATCTATGGATTGTGGATGGGGGGGGGGGGGGCAAATATCAGCCTTGCACAAGCGATAATACAATTGCCCGCAGTTATGTCATTTTGGGGGGGTTTTATTGCTACAAACAGGTTCTTGTGAATAAAAAAAAAAGATTAACAAAAAAAAAAAAAATTGAAAAAAAAAGATTAACAAAAAAAAAAAAAATTGAAAAAAAAGATTAACAAAAAAAAAAAAAAAAGATTTAAAAAATTGAAAAAAAAGATTAACAAAAAAATGTTTTTAATTAAAGCATCCTTAAATTTCCTGTGTTTTTTTTTCTCCCCGACAGTTCCTCAGCAGGGAAAACTCCTCATCCTGACGGAATTTGGGAAGATTTTGGTGGAGCCCAAGGAGATCTGTGTAATTCAGGTATGATAACACTCATTGATAACACTGCGGCAGTGCATGGAGTCTCCTGTCCCATCCCCCATACCTGAAATTCACCTGTTTTCCCCATTCTGCCCCCCCCCCCCCAGCAAGGCATGCGCTTCAGCGTGGAGGTCTTTGGGGACTCCAGAGGATATGTCCTTGAGGTGTTTGGCGTCCATTTCGAGCTCCCTGATCTGGGGCCAATTGGTAAGAAAATCTAAATACTGTTAAAAGGAAGGTAAGGGGGGGGGGGGGGGGGGTATTGGTGCTTTTTTTTTTTTTTTTTTGTAAAAACCCGCTTCCACGCCGCCCTATAGCAGAAATAGTGCTACAGGGTGGCACGGATGCGCAAAATCCCATGAGATATATATATATATATATATATATATATATATATATATATATATATATATACACACACACACACATACATACATATATATATATATATATACACACACACATATATATGGGCCCCGGGCGGTGATTCCCCGCCAGCAACCGGCAATCTCCAAGTATTACCGACAGGGGAGAGACCTGTGTATAAAAAACACAGATCTCTTCCCTGTCAGCTCCTGCACACTGCTTTGTATGGCTCTGCATAGCACAGCCATACAAAGCAGTGTGCTTACAGTGTACATCACACACACAGCATACTGTGAAATAGCACACAGTTAACCCTTTGCTCACCCCAGATGTTAACCCCTTCCTGCCCAGTGCCATTAGTACAGTGTCAGTGCTTTTTATTAGCACTGATCACTGTATTGGTGGCACTGGGGATGTCAGTGACACCAAGTCAGTCCCCCCCAGTGTCAGAATGCCCGCCGCAGTCCCGCTATAAGTCGCTGATCACCGACATTACTAGTAAAAAAAAAAAAGAAAAAAATTTCAGTATATATACCGCCATTTGTGCACGCTATAACTTTCACGTAATCCAATTAATTTACACGTATTGGGATTTTTTGTTAACAAAGACACGGAGCAGAATACATTTTGGCCTAAATTTATGATGAAATTTGATTTTTTTTTAAATTTTTTTACTAGACATGTTTAATAGAAAAAAGTCTAAAGTATATATATTTTTTTTTTTTTAAATTGTCCGTCTTTTTTTTGTTTATAGCACAAAAAAATGAAAAAACGCAGTCGACCAAATACCACCAAAAGAAAGCTCTATTTGTGGGGAAAAGAGGACATACATTTCATTTGGGTGCAGCGTAGCATGACCGCACAATTGTCAGTTAAAGTAACGCAGCGTCGCATCGCAAAAAATGGCCTGGTCGGGGGGGGGGTAAATCCTCAGAAAGGGGGGGGGGGGGTAAATCTTCAGAAGAGCGAAGGGGGTTTTTAGCAAGCTTGCTCTTCTGTATTTTTGTTATTGGATTAAAAATAGAAATGTGCAGATTGGCCACCTAAGGGAGCCTCATTCAACCTCCCTGCTTAAAGTGGACCTGTCAGTAACATTACAAATCTGCATGAATACATTCCTGACCCATTGTTTTGAAACAAATCTTTTTGTCCTGAAAACTTCACCTTTATCATTAGAAAGCTGTCCTTGTGCTCCAGTCAGTGGCTTTGCCTAGGCTGGGATGATTTGATCAGTCTGCTGCAGGCATTAGGAAGCATTTCCTCACTCCCCCCAATGATCAGACAACATTGCATTTGCTACATTGTAACTTTGAAGAGGGGAACCCGGAGATCAGATTGCAACATTGTAACTTTGAAGAGAGGAACCCGGAGATCAGATTGTAACATTGTAACTTTGAAAAGGGGAACCTGGAGATCATATTGCAACACTGTAACTTTGTAGCAAGTCACAGAAGGCTGCAGCAGGGGCTGATCTGTGTCAGACATTTATGAACACAGCAAGGGCATGTGGATTTCCAGTACATGTTTGTGTGCCAGCATCCAAGTTTAGGCAGTAGATGGTCATTCTGTAGAGAAAAATAAATGGAGGCATTGATCACTGTGGCCACTGAATCCACATTGTCAGGCATTGTGATCACTGTACGTGATTCAATGTAACAATTCCAGATATGTAACATTTTATAGCAAGTATGCACTTATTATGAGAAATATGCCTGGTGCTAGGCCTCTTGGGATAGGATATCAGCTGCAAGATCTGTATTTCCCATTGGGGTGGACCTGTCTCCATTCATAACATTCCCACTATCAGGGCGCCTAAAGGCATACTAGGAGTCAATTTCTTTATTGTGTGTTGTGCGGTAGACATGAAATCACGGGGTTCACACATATACCCATCATGTGTTACCATAGGGGCCAATGGACTGGCAAACCCCAGAGACTTCCTGACCCCAGTGGCCTGGTTTGAAGACCGGATTGTGAAAGGCGGCTACACAGTAATCAACAAGTACCAGGGCAGACTGTTCACCTCCCTGCAGGTATGTCCATCTTTCTGCCAGATACAATGGCAAGCTTGTTCTTCCATATTTTTGTAATAGAGATTTGTAGATTGGCCATTAGAGGACGCCTCAACCTCCCTGCTTAAAGTGGACCTGTCAGTAAAGTGTACCTTGCCTTATCAGTAAAGTGAACCTTGCATCTCAGTGAAAAAAAAAAAAAAACATGGAGGGAAAAAAAGTTAGATAATACCTACCTCTACCTGGCTTCCTCCTGCAGTGGCTAAGCAAGGGTAAAGTCAGATTCCTCCTGATCTCCCAGAATGTTGAATAGTCCAAATCTTGTGAGCTGACCCTGTATTGTGTTGCAGTGTCTTCTTGTGAGATTTAAGCTACTCTGCATTGGTGATGTCTTTGTCGCTTGTAAATTTGGGCCTCGCCTTGCTCTTCAGGATTATCCTGCTGTTGGCCAATTTTTAGTACAAATCTTGTGAGATGACCCTGTATTGCATTGCAGTGTCTTCTTGTGACACTGAGCATGTCGAATAGTACAAAAGTCTTAAGAGATGACCCCGTATTGCGTTGCAGTGTCTTCTTGTGAGATTTGAGCTACTCTGCATTGATGATGTCTTTGTCGCTTGTAAGTTTGGGCCTCGCCTTGCTGTTCAGGATTATCCTGCTGTTGGACAATTTTACACTGAGCATGAGTGTTTTTTTTTCTTATTTTTACTGCATTGGTACATGTACTCCATGGAAGTGTCCAAGCCTCCCATGCCCTTTTTTAACAGTAGTTTGCCTATTAGCCCTAAAGGCGGCCAGAATTTAACAGCAAGATTTGTCCCCCCATAGACTTCATCAGAATTCATCTGTAACCCTCTGTTCACATATTTGCGGCTGTGCGGACCACGTTTTGCACGGGCACGAGAGCTCATTCATTTGAATGGACTCCCATGCCCGTGACACACAGGGTAGAAGTCCCTGCACTTCTTTGGAAAACGCAGCCGAGGTTCCCAGTACGGCTGCGTTTTCCAGTGCGGGCGGCATGCCATTAGAACTAATGGCACCCACCCGCGGGTCCGCATTTCTCTGTGTGGGTGGCTTTTCGTGCGGCTCCGCAGCGGCACCACCGCACAGATGTGAACCTAGATTTCCCCATCACACTACTACATTGATAACGCATGTGAAAATGCATGAACATACACATGAAATGGTGTGAATCTGACCTTAGGGAGATGTTAGATTATAAGTAAAGATTGTACGGCCAGCTTGCAGGTCAGAGAAGAACATTCAACTATTCAGATTTTTGTTTTTTATCCCTCTGAAGGACTTTTCTCCCGTTTAACGTTGCCGCTTGGCACGGGAACTACGCACCCTACAAGTACAACCTGGATAACTTCATGGTCATAAACTGCGTGGCGTTCGATCATGCCGTGAGTCTGTGTAATTTCATTTTTTTTCAGATGTTCTTGGAATGTTTAGATGGTGCAGTAACAAAGTTGTGTACATCCTGATTGCAGGACCCGTCTATCTTCACCGTGCTTACAGCCAAGTCTCTGAGGCCCGGTGTGGCGATCGCAGATTTTGTCATCTTTCCTCCACGCTGGGGCGTGGCAAACCACACCTTCCGCCCGCCATATTATCACAGTGAGTAAATTGGGATGCCGGGCTAGGGGTGTCAGGGTGCAAACCAGAGACCTTTGTGGACACTGAGTACTAAAGATCCAGTATTAAAAGATAACCTGTCATCAAGGTGAATTTGGAACTCAACTAGAGTTCCTTCAAAAGGTGCTCGGGGTTCCTTGACCTATGAGCAATGTAAGGGACATTCTTCCTTTTGGCCACCAATATAAGCAGCAGTCTTCCCAATGAACGCCATTTTAGTGGCGGGCAGCACAAGGAGGAAATAAACCACTAGCCAAGAGGAACAATTCCTGGCTCTGATTCTGAGGAAGAAAGAACCGCTCTTCTTCATCCTCTTCTTCTTCTTCCTTCTAATCTTCTCCCACCCCTCATCAGCAGAATCCCCTTCAACAGAAGGTGAGACATGGGACATGGACACCCCTCCCTCAGCCCCATCGGCTTCACCCCCATCCAGCACCCCCACACTTTTGGCCACGTTGTTGAGAATGGAGGTTCTTCCCAATGAACGCCATTTTAGTGGCGGGCAGCACAAGGAGGAAATAAACCACTAGCCAAGAGGAACAACTCCTGGCTCTGATTCTGAGGAAGAAAGAACCGCTCTTCTTCATCCTCTTCTTCTTCTTCTTTCTAATCTTTTCCCACCCCTCATCAGCAGAATCCCCTTCAACAGAAGATGAGACATGGGACATGGACACCCCTCCCTCAGCCCCATCGGCTTCACCCCCATCAAGCACGCCCACACTCTTCTGGCCACGTTGTCGAGAATGGAGGTTGAGTAGGCCGAGAGGGAAAATCCACTACCCCCTCCCCAGCAGCTTCCGCTAGTCTGGAGGATCTGCACACAGTAGAATTAGGAACCACCGCAGGAGGGACAGACTCAGGGACCACATTACTAGGGGAAACAATCTGATACAACAGATGGAACAGACACAGGAGGGGCAACAACGGTTTCCTCCCTAGCTTCAGCTGCCTCATCCTCTTTATCAAGCCTCTGCATCTTAGCCTCCAATCCTGGCAAGTTATGTAGTGCCTCTGGGCACTGACTATATGGATGACCCAAGTTCTGACACAAACAGGGGCGGACTGACCATTTGGAAACTCGGGCATTGCCCGAAGGCCCGGGGTCGGTAGGGGGCCCCATGAGATGCCCCTGGTACCTTTTTCATAGGCTTTTTTTTCAGTTTGGGCAAGGACACAGGGCCCCCATGATCCCTTATTACCCGGGGGCCCCATGAGCTGTCAGTCCGCCCCTGGACACAAATTGCACCAAATCCTGGCACTGTGAGCATTTCTTGATGGTGCAGGATGATGCAAATTGACCTTTCTCTCCACAATTATTACATACCTCAGGCTGACCCTGATAGAAAATGGTCAGCCTATCCCTCCCCAAAAAAGCTGAGCAGGGCAGGTGCTGAACCACATTGCCCAGCACCCTCAATTGCAGCACCACGTTCCAGGCCCCTATCCACATTCATCAAGAACCTTCCCCAGTGGAGTGAGAACCTCACCATATTGGCATAGCCACGCTACCAAAACAGCCTCTGGTATTGATTTGCTACGGACCAGAATTGTCACCGATTTTATCAAAGGCTGCCTTGAAACCACTTTGGCACCAAACCTCTCCACAGCCGAAGGCCCCGGCACTTCCTATACCTCATTAATTGCTGGCACACTCTTAGTTCCTGCTGTCTTCACAAGTGTCCATACTGCTGCAACCATAGATGCTTCAGCTCCAGCTGGCATCTTCTCCTCCAGCACAGGGCTTTCAGCTGAGGACAGTGAAGTTGAAACAGTTGAAATATCACTGACACAGGAGCAGGGGCGGACTGACAACTCTTGGGGCCCCTGTGTTCTTGCCCACACTCAAACCACACCCAAAAAAAGCCTATGAAAGGTACCAGGGGCTTCTCATGGGGCCCCCTACTGACCCCGGGCCCTCGGGCAGTGCCCGAGTTCCCCAATGGTCAGTCCGCCCCTGCACAAGAGACCTCCATGGCTGCTTCCACTCCACATGCTGCACTGTGCTGATCCCCTCCCCCACCAGCATCAATCACCTGTGCAACAGAGGGAGGCTCAGATGCAGCAACATAGTCTTTGGAGCTGGCAGTCATCTTACCTGTAGTAGAAGTCTCAGAGAAACTACTGGTCTCAGCAGGAACAGTGAAAATGTCCAGGATGTCCTCTGATGGTCTGGTGACACCTCTACTAGGGGTTTTCCTTGTCTATCCACAGAGGGTTCCTCCACAGCAGAAGGTCCCACAGGCTACTCTTTACACAGCTCCTTCTCTTTCTGCTCCTTAGCCGGGACACCATCCACCACAGCTGGTGGGGCAGACATGTTGGAAGGAGCCATCTTTGTGTGCTGGGATTTCTCCACCTGTACTGGCTTCACTGGTTTGTACCTCCTGTGCCCATCCTCAGGGACATCTGAAGGGTTATCAGAAAAAGTGAACCTGTCTGCCCTCAGGGGTGACTCCATCAGCTGAATGAATGTTAGGACGCCATGTTTCACTCTCAACCCCCTGGCGATTCCCAAGGATGACATGGGGGAAGAGAAGCTGAGGCAGATGGAGCCGGGTCGTCTGTTACCTGAGGTTGTTGATCCACAGAACTTGCTGATGTCTGGCTGGCAAATCGCCTCTCATTGTCAAACTTTTCTTTAAAAGCTCCACTTCTGGTTTTCAACTTTTCCAACAAAAATATTTGTTCCTTTTCCTCCATCTACTGTAACTCTGGCTTCATGGTCAATCGATTCTTACTCCAAGCCTGGCAGTATTTGGCTCTCAAGGATTTGTGTTCAGCTTTCAAAAATTTACACTTCTCCTCAGCTCTTCCAATCGCCATAAAGCGATCAATAATTTTCTGCCTGTAGACATCCATATCCTCACCAGGGCCTGGACCCACATTCAGGTCCTCCTCTTCCTCACTGGGCCCTGTGTCTTTAGGGGAATCCCTCCCTGGGCCTCCCCAGGATCAGGAATAATTCCTGGGCCAAGCAAGCAGTCAAGGCCCAGGCTTGAAAATGTTGGATCTCAGAGAGAGATCCTTCAGTTGGTCCTCCTTCTCCCACTGACCAACAATGTAAATTACATTCTTCCCACTGGCCATCAATGTAAGGGGCATTCTTCCCACTGACCACCAATGTAAGGGACATTCTTCCCACTGACCAGCAATGTAAGGGGCATTCTTCCCACTGACCCCCAATGTAAGGGACATTCTTCCCACTGACCACCACCAATGTAAGGGACATTCTTCCCACTGACCCCCAATGTAAGGGACATTCTTCCCACTGACCACCAATGTAAGGAACATTCTTCCAACTGACCCCCAATGTAAGGGACATTCTTCCCACTGACCCCCAATGTAAGGGACATTCTTCCCACTGACCCCCAATGTAAGGGATTCACCCCCCAATGTAAGGGACATTCTTCCCCCCAATGACCCCCCCAATGTAAGGGACATTCTTCCCACTGACCCCAATGTAAGGGACATTCTTCCCACTGACCCCAATGTAAGGGACATTCTTCCCACTGACCCCCAATTAAGGGACATTCTTCCCACTGACCACCAATGTAAGGGACCCCCAATGTAAGGGGACATTCTTCTTCCCACTGACCCCCAATGTAAGGGACATTCTTCCCACTGACCCCCAATGTAAGGGACATTCTTCCCACTGACCCCCAATGTAAGGGACATTCTTCCCACTGACCACCAATGTAAGGGACATTTCCCACCACTGACCCCCAATGTAAGGGACATTCTTCCCACTGACCACCAATGTAAGGGACATTCTTCCCACTGACCCCAAATGTAAAGGACATTCCCCACTGATGTAAGGGACATTCTTCCCACCCCCCCCATGTAAGGGACATTCTTCCCATGTAAGGGACATTCTTCCCACTGACCCCCAATGTAAGGGACATTCTTCCCACTGATTGTAAGGGACATTCTTCCCACTGACCCCCAATGTAAGGGACATTCTTCCCACTGACCCCCAATGTAAGGGACATTCTTCCCACTGATCACCAATGTAAGGGACATTCTTCCCACTGACCCCCAATGTAAGGAGCATTCTTCCCACTGACCCCAATGTAAGGGACATTCTTCCCACTGACCCCAATGTAAGGGACATTCTTCCCACTGACCACCAATGTAAGGGACATTCTTCCCACTGACCCCAATGTAAGGGACATTCTTCCCACTGACCACCAATGTAAGGGACATTCTTCCCACTGACCCCCAATGTAAGGGACATTCTTCCCACTGACCCCAATGTAAGGGACATTCTTCCCACCCCCCAATGTAAGGAGCATTCTTCCCATGTAAGCCCCAGCCCCCAATGTAAGAAGCATTCTTCCCACTGACCACCAATTGATTCTCTAATGTAAGGAACATTTTCTCAAACTGACCACCACCAATGTAAGGGACATTGCCCAGCAAAGTAAGTCCCTACTAAGCAACTCATGTAAGGAGCAGTCAGTCTTCCCACTAGTCACCGGTGTAATGGGGCCCTTCTTACACTGACTCTCCCAAAGACCACGAATGGGTCATTTTCCTACTGATCACAAGTCTAAGAGGGGCTCATCTCCACTAACCACCAATGTAAGGAAGCATTGTACTGACCATCAATGTAGGGTGGCATTACACTGACCACTAATGTAGGGGGACCTTTACATTGAACATCATGGTTAGTAGGCATTATTATGTAGCCTGAGCTGTAGATACAGTAAGTATTAGCTGGGTGCCTCAAACTTTACAGCTATTTCAAGGGTTCCTCCATCTTAAAAACAGGCTGCTCTAACTCCTTGTAGGTATACCCTGTGGACCCTGTAGTATATAATGTGGCCTACAGAACACCTCTCCTTGTGTCATGCATATGAGAAGTTGGAGGTGTTCAAGATCATGAGAGCAACCTAGGATGACCAGGCTGCTCCTCTCTAGATACAGTACGAATAATGACTGTTGTCACCCTAGGACAGGAGTGCGTTCACCTTAGAACAGGTTAGGTGGCTCTACCAGGTCAGGTTTCTGGAGCCCTCCAGAAAATGATCAACTTTCTGGAAGAGGGGTGGAAGAGGCCCAGATCTACATGTTTGAGGGACCTTGGCCAATCCACTGGCAGGAGGCTGGGATGGTGACCAAGGCAACCCTCAAGTATCACAGAGCCTGGGGAATACTGTGCAGTGTTGGGTGGAAGATGGATTGAGGAAGGCTGGAGTGAGGAGACTGGGATAGGGCCCCAGGGAGGGGCCTACCTACAGGTAGAATGCTGGAAAAGAGGATGTCCACTGCCTTAAGGCCTCCTGGGGAGGACATCCTGTGTAGCAGGGAAGGAGCCAGCCTAGCGTAAGGCCTGAAGGCAGCCACCAACCCACTGAGTTAACAGGAGAGGACAGTGTGAGTACTTCTACACCCCCTGAGCCAGATACGGGAGAGGGTGGTCAGGTGTAATACCCAACTAGCTTCTCATCTGGGACTGTTCAATCGGCAGCTCTTGGGCCCCCTTGCTCAGGGATACCCTCAGGCAACTGGGTGAAGAGGAGGAATCATCCGGGGTCTGAGGAAGAACACCAAAGAGCCTTTAGTACTCTTTAAGAAGAGACTGTTGCTATCTGCATTTGTACATAGTTGCTAAGGAGTTGTCCTCAAGCTTGACAGTTCCTCGGGCATCCCATGTAATCCTAAACCCCATCCAAGTTCCTAACCAGGGGCGGACTGACCATTCGGGTTCGCGGGCACTGCCCAAGGGCCCAGGGTCAGCAGGGGGCCCCATGAGATGCCCCTGGTACCTTTCATAGGCTTTTTTTGGGTGTGGTTTGAGTGTGGTCGAGGACACAGGGGCACCATGATCACCTATTGCCCGGGGGCCCCATGAGTTGTCAGTCCGCTCCTGTTCCCAACCTTAAGGAAAACCATAAAACCGAGCTCAAGGACTGTTTACTGACTCCAAATGTGCAAGATGTGGAAAATGCATGTTGCCTGGCTGCATTGAGCTTTAGGGGGACCCCAATTCCAATCCAGCGGCCCCTAAGGGGGTAGTGCTACAGTAGATGAAGGTTTTAGTAGTGTTTGTCCAGTTTTTGTTATTTTTTCTGTCTTTCTGTCCTGGAGACTGCTATTCACTATTTTGTACCCTGGTGTCACTGGGACAGGAAGTTGAAATGTCTCCAGTGGGGACACACTTGGTTAATTTAACCCCTTCCCCACTGAAGTAAGAAATAAACTTTTTGTTGGCACTAATCATGGGGCCCCCGGGCATAATGGGATCATGGGGCCCCTGTGTCCTTGTCCACACTCAAAGCACACCCAGAAAAGCCTATAAAAGGTACCAGGGGCATTTCATGGGGCCCCCTACTGACCCCGGGCCCTCGGGCAGTGCCTAAGTGCTCGAATGGTCAGTCCGCCCCTGGTCACTACATTCAGCTTTTGTTCTCTCCACTCATCCCGGGCCCAGGTATGGCAGGCAAAGAGAACCTGTCACACCATGGAATTTAGTTTTAGAACCTCCACGTTCTATAGGGCGGCCATCGTGGTGAACCGGTGTGGACGCCCTTCTCAATTCTGTATTTTGAAGACGGTGGTCACTTCTGTTTCCTTTATTCGCAGGGAATTGTATGAGCGAGTTTATGGGGCTCATTAAGGGTCATTACGAAGCCAAGGAGGAGGGCTTCCAGCCGGGCGGGGGCAGCCTGCACAGCGCCATGACACCTCACGGGCCGGACTATGAGTGCTTCGAGAAGGCCAGCAACGCCAAACTGGAGCCTGAGCGGGTGGCCGACGGGACAATGGTAAGTGCGACATCTGGTACTGCGTAGGAATCAATTAATTAATATTAAAAGAAATAAAACAAATGAATATTTATTATTATACAATATACTACATTATGGCCAGTAGATGGCGCTGTCAATCATAGGAAATAATCACATCACAAACAATAGGCTGATAATTCATTGCGCCTGTGTGAATGCTTGACATCCGCAAGGCAAATCTCTTCTACACAGACCCCCAGGATTAGAATGAGAATACGCATGCAGACGATGTTTGAATAATGCAGGCCATAGACGGTTCAAAAATCGGACGATTTTTTCGTCCAAAAAATGAAACATCGTTCTTTCTGTAATCCAATGTTGCCACCAATGATTTCGAAAAATCGGTCATTTTTCACGAAGTTTCCAGCATGACCGATAAACGAAATGAGGAGGAACCATGAAAATCGGCCGATGCCATTGCCCCACTAACAGTGCGAAAATCGGATTTTTCTTTCGGATGATTTTGCGAACCGTCTATGGCCTGCAGAACTCCTTGCCCTCCAGAGGATTCCCCTCCCCCTTCCTGACCATTTTTTTTGCGTTACTTTAACTGACAATTGCGCGGGTCATGCAACGCCGCACCCAAATTAAATTTACGTCCTTTTTTTCCCACGAATTGAGCTTTCTTTTGGGGGTATTTGATTGCCTGTGCATTTATTTTTTTTATAAAAAAAAACGACAATTTTGAGAAAGAAAAAAACTATTTTTTGACTTTTTGCTATTAAACATGTCCAGTAAAAAAAAATTAAAAAAAAAATAAAAAAGACCGACATTTTGAGAAAAAAAAAATATTTTTGACTTTTTGCTATTAAACATGTCCAGTAAAAAAAAAAATTAAAAAAATTAAAAAAAAAAAAAAAAAAAAGACCGACGATTTTGAGAAAAGAAAATATTTTTGACTTTTTGCTATTAAACATGTCCAGTAAAAACATTTTGTCAAAAATTTAGGCCAAAATTTTCTGCTCAAAAAAAAAGATTTAGGTTTCCGTGAAAATGTATTTCTAGATACTGAATTTTTATTTAGTTATTTTTTACTTTGCTAGATTTAAAAAAAAAATTGCCGGTCAAATTAAATTTATGTCCTTTTTTTCCCACAAATTGAGCTTTCTTTTGGGGGTATTTGATCACCTGTGCATTTATTTTTTTTATATAAAAAAAAAAAAAAGACCCGACAATTTTGAGAAAAAAACAATATTTTTGACTTTTTGCTATTAAACATGTCCAGTAATAAAATAAAAAAAAACACCGACAATTTTGAGAAAACAAAATATTTTTGACTTTTTTTGCTATTAAACATGTCCAGTAAAAATTAAAAAAAAAATCTAATTTTGCCAAAAATTTAGGCCAAAATGTATTCTGCGAAATGTCTTTGCTAAAAAAAAAAAATCCCAATACGTGTAAATTAATTGGTTCACGTAAAATTTATAGCGTTTGCAAATGGCGGGATAGATACTGCAATTTTTATTTAGTTATTTTTTACTAGTAATGGCGGCGATCACTGATTTATAGCGGGACTGCGTTACTTTAACTGACAATTGCGCGGTCATGCAACGCCCCACCCAAATTAAATTTACGTCCTTTTTTTTTCCCACGAATTGAGCTTTCTTTTGGGGGTATTTGATCACCTGTGCATTTTTATTTTTTTATAAAAAAAAAAAGACCGACAATTTTGAGAAAAAAAACAATATTTTTGACTTTTTGCTATTAAACATGTCCAGTAAAAAAATTTTTTTTTTGAGCTAAAAAATAATTTTTGCTAAAAACATATATATATAAAAAAAAAAAGACCGACAATTTTGAGAAAACAAAAATATTTTTGACTTTTTTTGCTATTAAACATGTCCAGTAAAAAAATTAAAAAAAATCTAATTTTGTCAAAAATTTAGGCCAAAATGTATTCTGCTCCGTGTCTTTGCTAAAAAAAAAAATCCCAATACGTGTAAATTAATTGGTTTACGTGAAATTTATAGCGTTTGCAAATGGCGGGATAGATACTGAAATTTTTATTTAGTTATTTTTTACTAGTAATGGCGGCGATCACTGATTTATAGCGGGACTGCGTTACTTTAACTGACAATTGCGCGGTCATGCAACGCCCCACCCAAATTAAATTTACGTCCTTTTTTTTCCCACGAATTGAGCTTTCTTTTGGGGGTATTTGATCACCTGTGCATTTATTTTTTTATTAAAAAAAAAAAGACCGCCAATTTTGAGAAAAAAACAATATTTTTGACTTTTTGCTATTAAACATGTCCAGTAAAAAAAATTTAAATAAATAAAAAAAAAAAAAAAAAAGACAATTTTGAGAAAACAAAATATTTTGACTTTTTGCTATTAAACATGTCCAGTAAAAAAAATTAAAAAAATCTAATTTTGTCAAAAATTTAGGCCAAAATGTATTCTGCGAAATGTCTTTGCTAAAAAAAAAAATCGCAATACGTGTAAATTAATTGGTTTCCGTGAAATTTATAGCGTTCATAAATGGCGGGATAGATACTGCAATTTTTATTTAGTTATTTTTTACTAGTAATGGCGGCGATCAGCGATTTATAGCGGGACTGCGGCGGACATTCTGACACTGGGGGGGAACTGACTTGGTGTCATTCCCAGTGACACCAATACAGTCACCAGTGCTAAAAACAAATCACCAACACTGTACTAAATGAGACTGGGCAGGAAGGGGTTAACATGAGGGGCGATCAAAGGGTTAACTGTGTGCTGTTTCACAGCATGCTGTGTGAGTGCTTCACTGTAAGCACGCTGCTTTGTATGGCTGTGCTATGCAGAGACATACAAAGCAGTGTGCAGGAGCTGACAGGGGAGATCAGTGTTGATTATACACAGGTCTCTCCCACGCAGGGGCGGACTGACCATTTGGAAACTCAGGCACTGCCCGAGGGCCCGGGGTCAGTAGGGGGCCCCATGAGATGCCCCTGGTACCTTTTTTATAGGCTTTCTTGAGTTTGGGCAAGGACACAGGGACCCCATGATCCCCTATTGCCCGGGGGCCCCATGAGTTGTCAGTCCGCCCCTGCTCCCACATACTTGGAGATCGCTGGTTGCTGGCGGGGAATCACCAGCCGGGGCTAACTGTGTGTTGGGTGTGTTTTACTAGGGGGGGGCGGTGTCTGTGTGCTTCACTGTACTCACACAGCTTTGGATGGCTGTGCTATGCTGTGCAGTGTGCCCGAGCTGACAGGGAGGAGAACTGTTAGTAAACAAAACAGTTCTCCTCCCCGTCGGAGATCCTCGGTAATCACTGGGCGCCGGTGATTAATCACCAGCCGGGACCTGGTGATTGAAAGACGCAAATGGCGCCGTCTCGCGCGCACACCTCCACCCGGAGATGCAAAATCACATATATACAGTGTACGTGATTTTGCGCCCCCCGTGGCGCCCCGTAGCAGTATTTCGGGAAGCGGTTAACGAAAGCTTTACTAAACTTGATCATCTGAATACAGATCAGCGTATAAAATGATTGCTTCTCTCCCCCCTCCACAGGCATTCATGTTCGAATCCTCGCTGAGCATGGCCGTCACCCGCTGGGGGGCTGGAGACCTGCAACCGTCTGGACAAGGAATATTACCGCTGCTGGGAGCCCCTCCGCAGCCACTTCAACCCCCCCCATCGGAGAGTAGGAAGTGACCGCCCTCCCCGCCCCCGCCTTATCTACGTCACTTGAAGTCAAATAGAGACAGTCCCGTTATATCCCCTAAAAGTATACAATGTAACTATAAATGATCAAAATAATTACCTCGTTATATTGAAGAGGTCACATGACCTGGGTGAAATCTGCTCATGTCCAGGGCCCCTCATCCTCCCCTGTTCATATGTAGCCAATGGGATGCGCTGCTATAGGTGTACAGCTGCACCGCCCGACTTTGATTTGTATCCCCAACACCTGTGACCCCCAGAAATACGCGTTGTACCCCCAACTGCGCCCTGAAAGCTCACCGCACACTGCTGAGGCCCATATGAACAAGGCTTGCAGAAAGGTGTCATAGAAAGCTGCAGACTCTGTAGAGTGGTGTCACCCTCCTTGGTGCTACAGGTGTGCAAGTCACAAGAACGGCTGAACAGAAATGGAAAAATTGCAGCAAATAAAGCTTTTCTCATGCCGGAGTTCAGCTTAAATGTATTAAGAGACATAATTCGTAATGTTTGTTCCGTGTATAAATTCGGCTTCTTATAAAGTATAATAACCATTCATTCAGAGTGAGTGCGCGTGATTGGACTGAATCTGCAGGTGTGCAGGGATGGTGGGAACCCCTCATAATGGGCACAGCGGGTGTACAGACCCGGGAACTCAGCACAGGGATGGAGGGAACCCCTCATATTGGGCACAGCGGGTGTACAGACCCAGGAACTCAGCACAGGGATGGTGGGAACCCCTCATAATGGGCACAGCGGGTGTACAGACCTGGGAACTCAGCACAGGGAGGGTGGGAACCCCTCATATTGGGCACGGCGGGTGTACAGACCTGGGAACTCAGTACAGGGATGGTGGGAACCCCTCATAATGGGCACGGCGGGTGTACAGACCCAGGAACTCAGCACAAGGATGGTGGGAACCCCTCATAATGGGCACAGCAGGTGTACAGACCCGGGAACTCAACACGGGGATGGTGGGAACCCTTCATGATGGGCACAGCGGGGTGTACAGACCCAGGAACTCAGCGCAGGGATGGTGAGAATCCCTCAAAATGGGCACAGCGGGTGTACAGACCCAGGAACTCAGCACAGGGATGGTGGGAACCCCTCATAATGGGCACAGTGGGTGTACAGACCAGGGACCTCAGCACAGGGATGGTGGGAACCCCTCATAATGGGCACAGCGGGTGTACAGACCCGGGAACTCAGCACGGGGATGGTGGGAACCCCTCATAATGGGCACAGCGGGCGTACAGACCTCGGAACTCAGCACAGGGATGGCGGGAACCCCTCAAAATGGGCACAGCTTGTGTACAGACCCGGGAACTCAGCACAAGGATGGTGGGAACCCTTCATGATGGGCACAGCGGGTGTACAGATCCGGGAACTCAGCACAGGGATGGCGGTAACCCCTCACAATGGGCACAGCAGGTATACAGACCCAGGGATGGTGGGAACCTCTCATAATGGGCACAGTGGGTGTACAGACCCAGGAACTCAGCACAGGGATGGTGGGAACCCCTCCTAATGGGCACCTGGAAAGGTCTTCATCCATTATTCAAATTGGGCACATTTGTGTTAAATCCACCAAATGTCTTTGCAAACTCAGATATTACCTTGTGACAGTAGCAATGACATCACTGTCCTGTACATAGCCTGGGCAGAGAGCAGAGCTGTGGGAGGTTCTCATTGTGTTTGGAGCACTCGAGCCCTTGAGGGTCCATACTACATCCACCCCAAGATCTGATGTCCCATGATATTCCGTTACCCTTCCCCACGCCTATTTGCCTGGACCCATTCATTCCCAAGCCTGCTCGCTTCTTCCCACCTCAGCCCCGCTGCGACTCTACCCTTCTATAGGATTCTGTTTGGTATGTTTGCCCTCCCCCTAAAAATAACGTCCAGAGATACGGAGGGTTCAAATTTAAACCTGACCTTGCTAAAATGTGAGTCTTCGCCCTCTAATTACTGCTATGGCCAGGGTCAATGTCTACGGTCCTCCGTTTTTTTTAAAACAAAGGATCAGTTCGTATTCTGTGACACAGTTCGGGGCTGGACCATATTCAGTAGGAGTAGAAAAATGCCCCAATAGGTACAGGAGTCATTATGTCCATGGTCTGCGTGGAGTAGATGTGCCCCATGTAGGCGATCAGACGAGCTACAGGTGCCCCTACATCAGTGGCGGTACCAGTGGCCCTACGGAGGTGGTCAGAGGAGGTACCAGAGGTGTCATTATGTCCATGGCCAGCATGGGAGTAGATGTGCCCCATGTAGGCGATCAGATGAGCTACATGTGCCCTACATCAGTGGCGGTACCAGTGGCCCTACAGCAGTGGTCAGAGGAGGCACCAGTGGCCCTACAGCAGTGGTCAGAGGAGGTACTAGAGGTGTCATTATCTCCATGGTCAGCGTAGAGTAGATGTGACCCATGTAGGTGATCAGACGTGCTACAGGTGCCCCTACGTCAGTGGCAGTACCAGTGGCCCTACAGCAGTGGTCAGAGGAGGTACTAGAGGTGTCATTATGTCCATGGTCAGCGTAGAGTAGATGTGACCCATGTAGGCGATCAGACAAGCTACAGGTGCCCTTACGTCAGTGGCGGTACCAATGGCCCTACAGCAGTGGTCAGAGGAGGTACCAATGCCCCTATGGAGGTGGTCAGCGTAGAGTAGATGTGCCCCATGTAGGCAATTAGATGAGCTACAGGTGCCCCTACATCAGTGGTGGTACCAGAGGCCCTACGGCGGTGGCCGGAGGAGGTACCAGAGGCCCTACGGCGGTGGAGGCCCTACGGGTGGTCAGGAGGAGGTACCAGAGGCCCTACGGCGGTGGCCAGAGGAGGTACCAGAGGGCCCTACGGCGGTGGCCGGAGGAGGTACCAGAGGCCCTACGGCGGTGGTGGAGGAGGGACCAGAGGCCCTGGGTGGTCAGGAGGTACCAGAGGCCCTACGGAGGTGGCCGGAGGAGGTACAAGTGACCCTACGGAGGTGGCCGGAGAGGAGGTACAAGTGACCCTACGGAGGTGGCCGGAGGAGGTACAAGTGACCCTACGGAGGTGGTCGGAGGAGGTACAAGTGACCCTACGGAGGTGGTCGGAGGAGGAGGTACAAGTGACCCTACGGAGGTGGTCATTGGAAGTAAAAAATGCGCATCTTCTGGCTTCCAGTCCCTGACACCCTCTTTCCAATCCTACCACAGGGACCGGTCGTGGGTAACCATTGGGCCGTAGTTTTCAGATTTCTGCTCTAGGACTTGCTGTACTAGACCCTTTGTACTGCATAGAACCCTATGAAGGGGAAACAAAGGAAAGATGGAGGAGTGCGCAGAGGCGTGCGCTTGGTGCGACGATTGCCCGATAACGGGTTTCGGTAATGTTTTACACATCTGACATATTTACACCTTTATTTTAGAATATTTTACAATTCTGTTCCCATATATAGTATTACAGGTTCCTTAGAAATCCAGCCAAACAAGTAAGAGAGGAATCATCGTATGACAAAACACGTTTTTCGGTGACGGGGACTGGCGGCTGTCTTGGCGGGCGCAGTGGTGCTCAGAGTGTAAATGAAAAGGGATTGTCGTCCTTTCCTTCCTTAAACTCCCTCTCCTTCCGTGCCTGTGAAGGGGTGAACACAGAGAGAGGGGTCACTTCATTAATGACAAAACAGAAAAAAAACAAAAAAACAGACCAATCGCAGAACAGCAGGCAAGGCCTAAACCTCAGAACATGGGCTGTGCGAGTGCCAAGCCTTACACAGGCTCACCCTCCTGACAAAATCAGGTGATGTCACCCTGTGCAGCGCGAGTCCAGGAGAGAAAAAGCTGGCCGCGCTCCATGGAAATGTAGCCTCTGACAACTTTAGAAGCCCAGACAAGCAAGGAGTCGTGGCTTAAGACCCCCTCCTCTGACTGGTTTCCCCCCCCTAAAGCAAGGGGTGGCGAACTGGTGGCCCTCCAGCTGTTGTGAAACTACAAGTCCCATCATGCCTCTGCCTTTGGGAGTCATGCCTGTAACTGTCAATCCCTCATGGAACTTGTAGTTTGGCAACAACTAGAGGGCCGCCGGTTATGACACCCGTGCCCTAAAGAATAGACGTGGGGGTCAGGCGGGGACTCTTTGTTCATTTGTCTGGTATAATAAAGTTGTCAGCTTTTGAATGTTCAGGACATGCAGCCAGCTTCTTTTTTTGCTCCTTGACTTGCTCAGTCACTGGTGGACGGCCATTCTTCCCACCTGACCAATAACGGTTTGAGCTGCAGCAGCCAATAAATCCGGTCTGCTGCATGACCATAGTCTCCATCCAGCCATTGCACACAATGCAGCCCGATTCACCTGTACTTCTCAACCGAAAATAATCCCTGGTGATCCTGCCATGAAGGTCCCTCCTGTTATAGGGTGACAACGCTCTATCCATGTCGCCCAATTGTGCTCCTGTGTTGTCATATGGAATGAAAACAATGGCTGGCCTTAACTCTGCTCCTATCAGTCTCGTAGATTTCTAAATTGTGCATCAAACCTGACAAAACCTACTGGGGATCACCACCACAGGGGGGGTTGTAGGTAAGGCACAATGTAGAACCAATAAATACACTCCTTAGTGTTGTGTAGCCAAAAAATACAAAAAAAAAGCAAAACTATTTATCCTGTGCGACTGTATGTATGTATGTATGTACCTTCTGTGAAACTGGGGACAAAATCGAATGTTATTAAGCTCGTTTCCCTCCAGGTCGAATGTTATTCATTCATAGAGTGAATCAGGAAAATACTACGTTATGTCCACTAGAGGGAGATCATAGTAAATATTTATTGTCTTTGATCATCAGCTCCATGTAGTGGACACCAGGCCATGAAAGCCTTGATGCGGCAAACACCATGAACTATGGGAACCACAGATGTCATCTTATATGCTTCCCACCCGCACCTCGGACTCTCACCTCACAGGAAGAACCAGGATGGTGAAGATTGGGGGAAAACCAACAATGAACTCATGAACTACTACCCCCGCTTCTTACCTCCCTACTCCGAGCTCTGCTGTACTGTACAGGGATTATAGCAATCAGGCACCAGACACCACCTCCCACGCGTACCCCCCTCGGCACCAAATACCACCTCCCAAGCGCATTCCCCCCCCAGCACCAGACACCCACCTCCCCCACACACACCCCCAGGAAGCAGACAACACCTCCCACACACATACCCCCCCAGGCACCACCCCCCACACACATACCCCCAGGCACCACCTCCCACACACATACACCCCCAGGCACCACCTCCCACACACACATACCCCAGGCACCACCTCCCACACACATACCCCCAGGCACCAACACACATACCCACACACATACCCCCAGGCAGACCACCTCCCACACACACCCCCCACCCCCCCCAGGCACCACCTCCCACACACATACCCCCAGGCACCACCTCCCACACACATACCCCCAGGCACCACCTCCCACACACATACCCCCAGGCACCACCTCCCACACACATACCCCCAGGAACCACACCTCCCACACATACCCCCAGGCAACACCTCCCACACACATACCCCCCCAAGGCACCACCTCCCACACACATACCCCCAGGCACCACCTCCCACACACATACCCCCAGGCACCACCTCCCACACACATACCCCCAGGCACCACCTCCCACACACATACCCCCAGGCAACACCACCCCCCACACACATACCCCCAGGCACCACCCACCTCCCACACACATACCCCCAGGCACCACCTCCCACACACATACCCCCAGGCACCACCTCCCACACACATACCCCCAGGAACACCTCCCACACACATACCCCCAGGCACCACCCCACACACATACCCCCACCACCTCCCACACACATACCCCAGGAAACACCTCCCACACATACCCCCAGGCAACACCTCCCACACATACACCCAGGCAACACCTCCCACACATACACCCAGGCAACACCTCCCACGTACACCCCAACCCCCCCCCCCCCCCCAACACCTCCCAGCACAACAGCTCCCACACACACACCCCCCCAGGCAGCAGCAAAACACCTCCCACACATACCCCCAGGCAACACTCCCGCACGTACACCCAGGCAACACCTCCCGCACGTACACCCAGGCAACACCTCCCGCACGTACACCCAGGCAACACCTCCCGCACGTACACCCAGGCAACACCTTCCGCACGTACACCCAGGCAACACCTCCCACACGTACACCCAGGCAACACCTCCCACACGTACAACACCTCCCACACACCCAGACACCAGGCCCTGCCATTACTAAATTAGCACTCTCTTTGCACACCACCACAGGAGTATGTGGACATTGACACAACAACGTTCAGGCTGCCAACCCAATCTAACCTCTTCAGCGAGCCAAAGATCCATTAGGGTGCCGACCACATCAAGGAGCAATAACTAAAATCAGGACAGGCTTATAAACTTCACCCAAAATCCTGGATTGCGTTTGGTAAAACGGCAAAGGGTTAGTAGCCCTCAGATCCCAGGAAGTAAGAAAATCTCCCCAAAAGGGAAACAGGCAAGGGAAAAAAAAACAAAAAAAAAATCTCTAAAGAAATCTAAAAAACCCCCAATGGACCGGAGTGATCTTTAATGGAATCTGTTCATTCATATCACATCCCCGAGTCACTTACCCGATCCCAGCCTGCGACAACGTACAAGAAGAGCAAAGGTCCAGCGAAGGACAGGGCGCCGCGCAGACACACTTTAGGGGTCAGTCTGGCGTTGGGCAAAATGTTGTAATTGCGTGCGAACATCCATCGTTCCACCGCCGGGTCTTGCTAAAGGAGACAAGAGAAAGACATGTGACTTCAGGGAGGAGTTCACGGAGCCCGACGCTGTATATTACACCGAGCAGATCACCCCGAGACTCGGAACTAAACGGAACCTTTCTATTCATCCGCTCCTACTGTAGACGGCCATGACTTCCTCTCCGACAGTTACATGTCTGAATTTACTAGGTTGGATGTACAGGTCGTAGGTAATTCGGGGACAAAAACAGTAGGTTGTTGGCAACGACGACTCGGCATGATAGACCTGTCACTATTATCCCTGAAATCTGTGCCACGGACGGGGTGGTGGTGTCCTCCCAAGAAGCTATTTTGAACGAATTTAAAAATTACTACACCTCATCTTTTCCCTCTAATTTCAACCCTTCTGATTTGGCTGCTCTGTTAGATCCTTTGGCCCTTGGTTGGCTTTCCAATTCGGAATGTGCCGTTAGTTTCGGACATTACCCCAGAGGAGGTCTCCACGGCTGTAGGCTCCTTCCCTAATGGCAAGGCTCCGGGGCCTGGTGGCCTCCAGATGGACTTCTACATGACTCGTACAGATGTTCTAGCCCAGGGGTGGGCAAACTTTTTGACTTGAGGGCCGCAATGGGTTCATATATTGGACCCGGGGGCCAGACCAAGAGTAGATGAATGATGTGTATGTGTCATCCATAGTAAGTATAGTAATATTCCCCCATAGTAAGCATAGTAATTAATCCCCCATATAGTAATTCATCCCCCCATATAGGAATTCATCCCCCCTATAGGAATTCATCCCCCATATAGTAATTCATCCCCCATATAGTAATTCATCCCCCATATAGTAATTCATCCCCCATATAGTAATTCATCCCCCATATAGTAATTCATCCCCCATATAGTAATTCATCCCCCATATAGTAATTCATCCCCCCTATAGTAATTCATCCCCCATATAGTAATTCATCCCCCATATAGTAATTCATCCCCCATATAGTAATTCATCCCCCATAGTAATTCATCCCCCATATAGTAATTCATCCCCCCTATAGTAATTCATCCCCCCCTATAGTAATTCATCCCCCATATAGTAATTCATCCCCCCATATAGTAATTCATCCCCCCATATAGTAATTCATCCCCCATATAGTAATTCATCCCCCATATAGTAATTCATCCCCCATATAGTAATTCATCCCCCATATAGTAATTCATCCCCCATATAGTAATTCATCCCCCATATAGTAATTCATCCCCCCTATAGTAATTCATCCCCCCTATAGTAATTCATCCCCCCTATAGTAATTCATCCCCCATATTAAGTCCCCAAGTCCCCCCTGTGTCAATTCACTTACCTTTGCTCCGTGCGTTCCTCTCGCCGTGTTCCCGCGCCGTTCCGGTGTAGCATGAAAATCTGTCTCCTATGAGGATCTGTCCCCCTCGACATATCTGCGCATGTGCCAGTTTCAGGCATTAGCAGCCGATCGGCGATCTCCGGCACATGCGCAGATACGTCGAGGGGGACAGATCCTCATAGGAGACAGATTTTCATGCTACACCGGTCTTCAGGGCGGACTGTGAGAGGAGCCTAGCTCCGCGGGCCGGATTAAAAGGTCCGCCGGGCCGTAGTTTGCCCATTGCTGTTCTAGCCCTATATTGACCTCCCATGCATGAGGCACACATAGTATTGCTCCATAAACCGGGCAAGGATCCGAAACTTTGCACTTCATAAAGGCCTATAGCTCTTCTTAACAGTGACCTCAAAATCCTCACCAAACTTTTATCCATTAGGCTGAATAAGGTGAAGGTGTAAAAGTCAATTATAGACTCAGAGCAGATGGGTTTCATGCCTGGTAGATCCTCTAATATACATATCACTCACCTAAATGAGGGCTCTAGGACTACAGCCACTCTAGATATGGAGAAAGCCTTTGATACGGAGGAATGGGTTTACCTATGGGAGGCGTTACGTTGGATGGGTTTCCCTTTAAGGTTTATAGAATGGCTACAGACCCTATACTCGAAATCCTCTGTCAAAGCTACGGGTGGGTGGCCTTCTCTCTACTTCCTTGCACTTACAATGTGGTACCAAACAAGGATGTCCCCTCCCCCCAGCCCTCTTTGCTGTGGCGATGGAGCCTATAGCTGAAGCCCTTCCAGTTCCTCCAGATATTGTTGGCCTCCGGGTGGGATGGTTGAAGGAGAGGGTGGCCTTACATGCAGATGACCTTTTATTGTTTCTAAATGATGCCGGGCCTTCCCTTCATCTTATGGACTCATTCTCTAGATTCGCAGGTCTGAGGGTCAGCCGTTAGTTTCGGTCATTACCCCAGAGGTCTCCACGGCTGTAGGCTCCTTCCCTAATGGCAAGGCTCTGGGGCCTGATGTCCTCCCAATGGACTTCTACCCATGGGAGGCGTTACGTTGGATGGGTTTCCCTTTAAGGTTTATAGAATGGCTACAGACCCTATACTCGAAATCCTCTGGCAAAGCTACGGGTGGGTGGCCTTCGCTCTACTTCCTTGCACTTACAATGTGGTACCAGACAAGGATGTCCCCTCTCCCCAGCATGCTTTGTTGTGGCGATGGAGCCTATAGCTGAAGCCCTTCGAGTTTCTCCAGATATTGTTGGCCTCCGGGTGGGATGGTTGGAGGGGAGAGTGGCCTTACATGCAGATGACCTGTTATTCTTTCTAAATAATGCTGGGCCTTCCCTTCATCCTATGGGCTCATTCTCTAGATTCACAGGCCTGAGGGTCAACTGGCATAAGTCACTGTTCTTCCCGGTGGATGAGGGAGCACCGGCCTCCTCCTCTACTTCTCCCTTACAGTGGGTGGATAAATTTACTTATTTAGGTTTTGTAGTCCCCAAGAAGGCCTCTGATTTTATAGAATTGAATCTCCATCCAATATGGTCCGAGGTCAGGTCCAAACTGAAGGCATGGAGTAACTTGCCCCTTTCTCTAATTGGCCGTATTAATCTTTTAAAAGTGAAAAATACTTCACAAATTTACGTATATTTTTCAAATTTCCCCACAATGGCTCCCCAAGTCATTCTTTTTAAAAATAAACCAATTGTTCCCTCCATTTCTTTGGGGAACTAAGCCTCCCAGATAGAAGCTCACTACCCTCACTAGACCTACGGATAGAGGAGGTTTGGCAATGCCGGATTGTTTCAAATACTTCCTTGCTGCTCAGCTTGTTACTGTGCACTGGTGGTTACAGCCAGACTTGACCAACACCTCTATTTTCCTGCAGGCCGCCATTTTGAAATCTCTGGAAGCCCTCCAATCTCTAGTGTTCAGGGGATTAAGATTGCCCCATAGCCTCACAACATCCATGTATACCACTCTTCGGGCCTGGGCTTAGAACGGAATCCCTCCCCTCTAATACCTTGTCCCGGCATACTCCACATTGGCTGAACAGCTCACTTTCCCACGATCCCGGAATCCCTAGGCCTGGGCTAAATACAAAATTAAAACACTGGAGCACATCACTGGTCATAATGGTTTGATCCCTTTTCATTTCTCCAATCTAAATTCAATCTGCCCTCGCAGTATTACTATAGATATCTTCAGCTTCTCCATGCCTTCAGAAACCAGTTCTCAGGTCAACCAATTTCCCTCTCGTACTCGGAGCTGGAGGCTACCAAATTTGGAAACACCCATGTTGGAAATTATTCCGATACCTTCTTGTGGCGGCCAACTCGAATTGGCATCCCTACATCAGAAATACCAGAGAGAAGGTAATTCAATTTAAAATTCTACACAGGGGCCTACTTGACTCCACAGAATGAACCCTTCCCTCCCTCCAGCATGTTGGCGCTCGTCACAACAGGATGGGGAATTCTTTCATATATTCTGGTCTTGTCCGCTATTGTGTCTTATTGGCAGGAAGTGTTACAAATAACACTGTTCAACAGGTAAAAAGTTTGGGCATAAAATTAGCTAATCTTACATAATTTTGGGGTGCTGAAAATGAAAATGACCCTAAAAAATGTTGATTGGCTCTAGTTTCCATGATATATTCACCCATCTAATGACGTAAGCCATTCAAAATTATGATGCAACTTCAGCTGCATATTGCGCAATTGATACTGGTGACCAATAGAAAATGTCATGTATACTGAGATGATGCAATATTAGCCTTTAATTGCATCACTTCGCTGCATAAAAGCTGCAGTATCTGTAGCTGATTGTAGTTCGTCTTTACATTTCGTTTTCTGCTTATATAGGCTACTCAGTAATGCCTCCAACTTGTGTGAATAAAGCAGATAATTTCTGCTATATCTGCGGTGAAATAACTTTTATCTCACAAAAAAGGAGGATAACAGGAATGATTAGGAAAGCCTACAACTTGTATTTTGGCTGCAAGATAGGAGACCAGGACAAGAGCTGGGCACCACATATATGCTGCAATTCTTGTGGGACGGCACTGGAGCAATGGTTGAATGGAAAAAAAAAAAGAAAAATAAAGGCATCTATGCCTTTCGCTGTGCCAATGATTTGGAGAGAGCCAACAGATCATGTTAGTAATTGTTACTTTTGTATGGTGCCTCCAATTGTAAAAGGGCTAAATAAGAAGAAAAAGTTATCTGTGCACTATCCAAATATTCCATCGGCAATACGTCCAGTTCCTCATGGAGAGGGGCTACCAATTCCTAAAGCACCAGAATCCTTCGTGGTTGAGTCAAGTGAGGAAGAACCTGAAGCGTGTAGTCACGTGCAGTTGTAAGAGATAGCCCTTTCCTCGAATACAAGAGAAAAGCCAAGAGAAGCAAAACCGACACAAACTGAAGACAAAACTAGTGAGAATCCTAAGTATTAAAATGATTCAACTTAGCTTATGGCTATAATTTTTCTTGGTAATCCTATGCAATATATTATGCCATTTAGGCTGTTATGTAGTCATATCACTTGCTTTATATTTGTGGAAAGACATCTATCTATATAATTATTGTGCATTATGTAGTCATTACGCCTATAGTAGAATAACTTTCCGTTTACAGAAAAACTAGAGCCAATTGACAA